TTTTTTTGCGTTTCGTATTCATCGGCGAAGAGTCAATACGTTGTTTTTATGCTCACGGGTTCATTTATGGATTGAACCAAATCAATGATTTTGACAAACATTTTGCACAATGCACGTCATTTGCCATTTTGGCACGTTTCATTTCCGTCGCAAGCTGTGTGATATGCGTTTCGATTGCAACTTGGACATGATGACTGCATAAACTGAGCAGCCCACGTTGTGTGTCAATCACTTTTAGTTTTGGTGCAGATAATTCTTCGAATTGTATTGAAAAAGATGGATTTAAGAACGAACGACTCAGCATGGAACAAAACAAGATGACGACAAATCGATTTGCGCTAATTTATTTTTAGTACTCAACCGTGGCAAAATACAGAAGTTTTTGTTCGCGCGTTAATAAATTACAAAATTTCGCTATTAGTAACAATGAAACGAATAAATTTAGTGTTTCGGACTGAAAATATTGCAGAATTCCTCTGATCGAGTAGCACCGTATACGAATAGTGATTATTCCACAATAATATTTACGCTTACACGTTTAGCTGTAGTTATTGCAATCATTTTTTGTACAGTTTTTTCGTAAGGCACATGCAAGACCCTAACGACATCTTTTGAGTTTTGTAGAAATCATTATGGTACTAACTACTTGGTTCAATATGAGTGGTAATTCTACTTAACAGTAATCTTGACGTGAAGCTCAGTGGCTTTACTGTTACTTAACATACTTTTAAGTTACTTAAACTAACTTAATAGCAAAACGTCAAACCAAATGGTAGTTGTGCTCGCTGTTTTATATGCCGGATGAGTTTTTTTGCTCAGCTTTTGAAACAAAATCCACATCCATCATTCGAAACACCGCCTTTTTATAATCCATTTGCACGTAACATTGGTCATTCTCGCTATTATCCAATTTGATCGACTCCGTATAAATCCCCAATCAACTACCGGACCAAGCGATTAAACCGTGATTCATATTCCATCCTTTTATTAAACCATATCTAATCCCGCTTTATTCTCAATACAAAAAAAATTCATCGCTTTTACCAATAAATACATTGATTGGAGATTGTATGTACAGCACGCGACTTGTGAAAATAATTGGAAATAGCATTTTCGTAGAATGTCAATGTCACTGGAGCAAAACCCCAAAAAACTCTTGAAATTGGGAAAAATACAAGTTGCAACGACGTCAAAATGAATAAACTTTTGCACCACCTTGGTGTCACCACGCCCGACAGTAACCGGCTTCAAAATGTGCTTTCCGCATTGATTTGAACAAAGAAAAACACCAATGGCTTTGATAAATATAACATTATGACACTCAGCTCCTCGATGCAAAAGCACCCAAGTCAGTACAACAACAACAAAATTCGGTTCTGCCACGAGTTTAAGGTATTGCATTGAACCACGGAGAAATGTGCGCGAATGAATAAAACGATTGCAATTTTTGAACAAAATTCTGTTGCTAATTTTGGAACGGATTTCAAATTAATATTTAATTGTATTTCATGAGAATTCAAAGCGAGAGAATTCTGATATTTTGTCTTTACATCAACATTTGGTTCCATTGAAATGTCTGCAATTCCATTGGGAATTCGCATGGATGAATATGCTATGCACTGTTTATAAATTATAAGCGGCATGTGGACCAACATTTAGTGGCTTAGTTGCAAATGGAGAAATTAATTTTCATCTATAGTTCTCCTGTCCGCAGATATTCCGCAATATTGGGAGCATTCAATCAAAATATTTCGCATTAATTACTACATTTCATACTGTAGCTTCAATCATTTAATCAGAAATGTGCATCAATTAGTTCCTGTTCGTTTGTTTTAGACAACGCATTCATTGAATGCTTTCCTGGAAATTAGTTTATGAATGGTATGTGTTCGGTAGTATTGATTCTTCATAACGAGCACAGCAGACTATCGTGTTGTCATTCAAATGGATCGATGAAGATAATGTCAAAATTCCCAACGTTATCACAATCGATAAATCCACAATCCACACTTTAAAAAAAGTATAAGCTTTCAGAATGCTACAATTGGTTCTAATTGTAACGTTTTCACTGCCGTCAGGTAACGACGATTCGTCCAAAAACTACATTTCAACCTCTGCGGATGGCACCGTGATGTGAAAACATCCATAGGTTTTCATTGAATGAAACAACGAATTGTCACTCTTGAAAACAATAAATTCATCACATCACACTTAAGAACTGCGTGTTTTATGATTTTGCTTTTGAACTTATTTTTGTGTGCTAATGAAGTGTGTTCACTGCTTTTCAATTCATATCAATGCTATACTTATTGCAGTTCACTAATACAGACCATATTCTTAAATTAGCAAATTTTTTAGATAAATATCGCTTCTATACTCCACAATGAAACGTTGCGAATGTGCATGTTATCGTTTTTTTTAAAGTATGACGCTATATTTCTCTGCATACAGAATTATTGCACCATATTTATCGTCTCAGCCAAGTGAATGATTTGAACAGTATTTAGCACAATGCTCGTCATTTTGCACGTTTTATTTTCACGCGCAATCTGTATGAAATTCGTTTCGGCTGCTATTTGGAAATGGTGATTGCATAAACTGAGCAGCCCGTGTTATTGTGTGTCGTTCGCTTAGCTTGTTGGTGCGTCAATAGCATGGCAAAATGTCGCTATTTTTGAGTGACAATCAACCGAATAAATGCATTATCCCAGACTGCAGATTTCACACAGTTTTTTTAATCGAGTAACATGATACACGAGCAATGAAAATGTTCACAATCCTATTCACGCGTTTACTACTAACGCAATTATCAATTGGAGTACGACCATTTTTTTCGTTTATTTTTTTTGTCCTAATTTTGAATGCAGAAAGTTTATGTGTTACATTTTGTTGTTCACTAACTATTGTCTATTTCATTTGCATTATTTAAAATTAGGATTTTTACTGCTCCCGTTCGTGAGCCACAATATCGACTGTACGGTGTACAGCGCTCCATTCGAACCATCATCTTCCCCAATGCCAGTCAAACTACTCTATTATCCGGCATTCTAATCAACATCGTTCTATAAAACGTCAGGTCTAGTTTGGTTATATTCTGTTACTACTACTATCACCAACGAAACTTTCCACTACTAGCATCTCAAATGTTACCGTTAAACCATTTTTTGACGTTTGATTTCCGTGCAGAAGTTGAAAAAAGAAGAATTTTAACGTATTGAAGAAAGGAAAATCAATGAAATTTGGTGCTTGAATCTGTCGTGTTCGACTATCGCTAGTACTATGCTGCATAATATTAAATGCACCCATTCATTTTTCATTGTTTTCAAATTGTGCGCGAACAAATTACATTAAGCCTTAATGGGAATGGATGAATTTAGTATTATGTGACTTGTCGCTGCTGTCCATTTACGTTTGACACTAGCAGTCGTAGATCGTGTTACATTACTGTTGAAAACCCACCGAAAGTTATAATAGGGTTGTTCCATGTTTGTGTATGTTTGAAATAATAAAAATTCTGTTGAAAACATCTGTTGCTGTGATAAATACAACATGATGAAATCCAGCGTTCGTGAAGTGCTCACGAAAAAAACAGCCAAAGCTGTTGAATGTTTAATACGAAAATCGGCAAAAAGCGCATTATATTCGTCAGTCAGTTAAAATATCTTGATGCAGAAGAGACGTTTACTTGATTTATTGCTCAATTAAAATTAATAAATAAAATCGGTGAAATGACTGTGAAAGCGATGTGCTTACTTTTATTGCCATTGGTATATATCAAATGAAATTGGGATTGAACGAAGAAAAAATTGTGCCATTGAAAAATTTATAACTCATTTTTACGATGCTTTAGCTGCTTTGGTCGACGACAGCAGCCGCTCCTTGGTTGTGTGACCCAACTTGGTTCGGCTTTCCCGCATCCGGAGGGTCATTTTCATCTTCCTCGTCAAGCGAAGAGTCCGGAGTATCATATGGTTTCCCAGTTTGATGTTGACAACATCAATCGTCGCAAATTAATCAAATTTAATTTTTATTCTTCGACTAGAACATCGTTTAATGATTCAATAAATTGTGTTAAAATATTTTTGAATTGCATTTATTTTCAACTTTTCTATTGCGCCCCAAGTAGTAACTTTCTGCAAATAATTTTCAAACAATTCCATGGGCAATTAATTATGATTGTGTGCTTCGTTGCATCCGCAATGATGAACGTGGCGTGTATCTTGAGTGAATATCTGTTGTAGAAGAAAATTGTGAACGTCTGTTTACTCGTATTTCATCTTTCAATTAAATGACCGCTCTTGACTTTGTCATTGATGTGAACGCTCCAGACGGTTATGCCAAATCTTGGGCACAGCGTGTACACACACATAAACATGTTTCATATTGATTTATTCTGAAGCAGCTGTTTAGATTTCAAACAACTTTGACGAAAATGTTGTGAGTTTGTGTGTTTGTTATGCAAGGTAATTTCTAAATTGTTAGCAAAAATAAAATACGCCAGACACAAAGGCAAACAATTTCAAAATTATACGATTTAAAATGTGTCTTCCGTCGTGCAGAAAAATCTTAATTGAACTTGAAATTAAGTGCATATTTGAGATATTCGCTTTATTCTCCTTCTTCGGTTCTTCGGTTCTTCGGTGTATTAAACAAAATCGTTATGAAATCTCCCATTCTATAAATCTAAGTCGAGCGAAATGGCGTTATTGGTGATGTTTTTCTTTTTACCGGTAAGCGGATTTCAGAGCTTAATTTTTTCAGATGATGAAACATTCTTTTTCAATATTTTCTTTTCGTCTTTTATATTTTTCTCGTAAAGTTGTTTGGTACAATCTTAGCTGCACCAGTAGCAGATTTGTGTATTATCCCAGGGATTCCCGCTTTACTACCACCAATTTTACAGAATCCATTGCAAACAACAGTCATCCTGCCGTCAAACTATCGGCCGAACGACGCTTTCCTTGTGCCAGATGAGATTCCCCAGCCACCACAACCACCTCCTCTTCCAATCGCCTTCAATTGGTATCAATCTGAACTACATACAGATGAATTTGAAACATTCGATGTATACGAGTAATCAATAATAACAGTTGATACCAAATAAAGCATAAAGAATATCAGAACAATCTGTTGTTGTTGCAATTTTGAATTGAATTATTTATCACACAGTTATCATAAATTTTTTTCTATTTTGACTGTAATAATCAATAAGACGAATAGAGGAAGAAGAGATATGAAGAATGAAAAAAATTCCCATATTTACAAGCGTACCAAATAATTTGTTGATACTTTTTACAAGAATTCATTTAATGAGAATTTTTGTTATTCGAATGGACTTTTTTTTCTGTGCTACGCATTTGATTTCTGCGAAGATATCAAGCTACACAGTACACATACAGGAAAAAAGTTGCGTTTCTTGATGTTAGTGATTCTTTTTCTTGATTCTGACTCAAAGTTTTTTTTGCAAAAAAAAATTCGCCTTTGTCAAATTCGCACCAACACAACCAAAGTCTTTTTGGACGAAATTTTTTTTTCATAATAGCAAAAAAACTCTGGGTAAGAATCAAGAAAAAGAATCACTAACACCAAGAAACGCGACTTTTTTCCCTGTGTGTAGGATGAAGGAAAAAGAATGCAATAACAGAGCCTGGTTGTTGTTTCGCATAGAAGTTGGGAGTCCGATTTCCATTGTATTTTTTCTCACGAAAAATATTTTGTGAACGAACACATACACAATTTGCGTCGATATCTCGATATACTTTTCCAATAATTTGTTGAGCACATTCTTACCTTAATATAGTTACAGTAATGTTTCCTTTCGACCTGTGTCTCCGTGAGTGTTTGTGTTTGTGTTTCTGCTTGTAAAAAAGCAAACATCGTCAATGTTAAATTGGCATCATCAACATAAGCTCTACTTGAAGTTTATGTATTCGAAGAGCAAGCAAACACATTTTCTTGCAAAATGCACACGTAAACATTTCGCTATGTTAGCCAAGGGCAAGCAACCATTCCAAACCTTCACCCTCACCAGTCGATCCAGAGAATGTAAGGGAGAGAGGAAAAAATCCATTTGATTTTATGACACTCATCAATGCGAATAGATTGCGTGTGCCGGGAGATCAAGTGATACGCAAGCAAATTTTGGGTATTTATCAGCTATTGACTATTCCAATGTTTTCGTTCGTTTATTTGGTTCGCTCTTCAATTTCCAATAGGGAGACCAAAGCAACATTTTATTTGATAATTGAAATGGCATTGCCAGGGGCAACATTTTAAATTACCAACTTAATTTCGGGCTATAAATAGTGTATATATATATATATATATACACGATACCATTTATATATATATATATATATTTGCGTACCGGTACTTCACGGCATGAGTGCAGTATTCATTTGGTACATAAGCATTATTACCGCTCACGAACTTTTTAAACAATTCAAGCGAATGTGGGTTATTCCATTTAGTACAAGCAGTAAATTAATTTATATAGTAAATAGCTTGTGCCCACTTAAAAATGGTAAATTTCGGTTCGAAGCATTTTCATTCGCTCCATCTCTCTTTCTGTGCCTTCAACTAATAGAAGTGTGCGCGTGGTGTCAAAAAAATACATACTACGGTCATAACCACAATTGAACTAGAAAAAGGAACGGTTTCCGGGAATGTAATCATGCTGCGTCGGGCTTTGAAAATCGGTTACTTTTCACGTTGCTTATACAGTCATCATCATCATCATCATCATCATCATCATCATCATCATTCATAAGCATCTAATGCGTGTAGCTTAACTTCAAAGCATCTGTCTTTGGGGCTAGTAATAAGATGTCAGATAGCACGTATAATATTTATGAAAATGATTGCAATATTTCATATTATCACGCTATTGCAATATATGTATTGACATCTATATTTATTTACATTTTTCGTTGCCCTGTGTGCACGGGCATAGGTAATAATAAATAAATGTGTTATTCGATTGATGACCTTTATTTTGGAGTGAATGAAAGAGACTAGTGAGTACATAAAATGTGAAATGTAATATGAAATCTGTTGAAAGCCAAGCACTATAAAATCGAATGTCACGCATCAAATCACACATACATTATACTGCCCCTACATTCCAGCACAACTGGAAAATCGACAGTCGAAAAGCTTCGTTCGAATCATTTCGTTTACGTTTATCACCTACTTTGGCTATGCTTCATTTCATCCATTTGGATGTATCATATCGGTCGTCTCTTATCACTTCCAGTCTGGTTATTCCAAGCGGAGAACAAAATGATGATGAACTAGAAATACGTTCCAGCATTGCATTTGATACTCAATATTGCTTGAAGCCAAAAGCTTAACGCTCCAAAATGTTTCCATTAAGCTTCGAATACTGTGCTCTGTGCTGTAAATAGAAAATTGTGCGTACCGCGCGTGACTCAACAATCGGTTCGGTTTGGTGTGGTGTGTTGTCGTTCTTTTTCTTTTATCATTCTCCAGGTTTTCGCATGTTTTTGTTATCATACTCTCCAGCTTCTCCCGACCTGTTTGTTTCGGTACAAGGCAGCAGCAGCAGCGGCAGCAACAGCATTGCCACAGAGCATAGCTTCGCCATCCGATCGGATACTGTGTGAGATTCAGTCAGGACCGAGCATTTGTTCCAATAGCAATTCAGAGCCGACGCTCATACGTTTTGCCTTCGTTTGCGATATTTCTGTATATTTCGTTCCTGGGTGCTGTTGCACGCCGAAACTACACACCAGAGAGAAAGAAGAAGAAGTAAAAGAAACAAATTCCCAAAGATTATTTCGATTCAGTTTTTCTTCAATTCACAGAAAACTTTTCGTTCGCTCATTTTAAGTGGGCTTTGGAAATCCGAAAAAGGATTTTTTTCTGTCGGGAATTTCTCTTTCTCACACTTTCGTTTGCCAAAATTGAGAAGAAGATTTATTGAAGTGATTTTGGTATCTCTTTTATTTGGAAATCGCGTGCATTTACTATTCTCGAAAGGTGGTGCAAATTGATTGTTGTCATCAAGTGAGGCGTTTGGCACAATTTTGTTCGTGAGTGAGTGTATTTGTGGTGCAAAAAGCGAAAATAGCGAAAATTAAAAAGCTATTGTGAGGTTTCTCTAGTGTAAAATAAATGACAAAAAATATCATCGATTCTGTTAATTAATTTGCATATGTTCATTGGCAATATTGTGTGAAGTTTCTGTTCTTTTTTCTGCGCCCGCCAGCTACAGCATCAGCGAAATAAAAAAAAAAGAATCCAACATTTCAATGGCATCATTCAATTTCCTGTTTGTCGATTAAAGACAATTACATTTGCGTACAGCTGCAACAAATCAAACAACAAATGTACAATCGAACGACGCTATTTTGCATGTGAACTGTATTCGAGTACCAGTGAAATCCTGTGTTAAGTTGTGAGTTAACGAGAGAAAAAAAAACCGAGACACATAACGTGAGACAAAAGTCCTCGAAAAGCGAATGAGCCCGAACGAACGTACGTGAATATAAATATATCGCAAATTTAACATCCATTTATTACGAATAAAAAGATGCTCGTAATTGTACAAGTGGCAAATGTCTGTCTATAGTGGAGACGAGAAGCAGCAACAAGCGTATCGTCGACGATACACCATATAATGGAAAAGATTGCAATAGAGCAAACATTGAGACGGAAAAAATCCGTATAAATAAAGAAACCGTACCGAATCAACGTTGCTCAGCTCGCTTGGATATATACTAGAACGAAAAAGAAAGCAAAACGGAAAGAAAAAACAGAAGAAAACGGAAAAATTTGACGAACGGAAAAAATATGCACTGAATAAACAAATCGAGAGAGAGAGAGAGATAAAAAACGATCACAACGAGAAGAGGACTAAAAACAAATTGTATAACTTCGAGTGTGCGAGAGTGAGGAAATAGAAAAAAAAAACAGATGAAGAAGAAGAATAATAAATAAATAAAGCGAAAATCTGTTTATTGGCTTCGACTATAAAAGAAAAGAAATAATAGTATTTATATGGGAGCTTAAATGGCGCCTGTTGCTCGGTGATATATTGAATATAGAAAAATTTAACAAAAATACAAGCATAATTTGCCCCACCGAAAACACAAAATCAACCTCTATATGAATTTATGTGATTTTTTCTTCTTCTTCGAAACGTGTGTACTATATTAGTTGCGATTCAATTTTCATCCTTGAAATCACGCACCACCACCAACATCACCATTTTTGGATTTAGTCACAAAGTTCGGCACACACACACACACACGAACGGCAGCTGAGGAGAGAAAAAAAACTTTCTCCGTTTTTTTTTTATTCAATTTTTTTATTATATTTTTGAAAAGGGTAAGTGAAATTTGTGTACGCAATATATAGTCCATAAAAGTATAAGTGTGCGGACTCGGATGTGTTGGAACGAAGCCATGAATTGAATGAAGGATTCGTATTGATGAAGAGAATGGGAAAATTCAAATATATTTTCGAGAAATCAAATTATGGTTATAAATGTGAAGCAAAACTGAAAACGAAATGCTTGCCATCAAATCGTGACAAATGGTGCGCCTCTTCACAATCCATTACATTGATTTCATTTAAAATGTAAATTCGGTGGAAGACTGACGCAATATTTCGGTTGGTTCGTCGATCTTTTTTTTTTTTATTATTATTAGTGAGGCTCTCCCTCTCTGTTTCTGCGCTTTTTTTTATATTCCTTTTTGTTAGCCTGACAATTTGATTTAATTGTGGAGCAGAACAAATGTGTATTGAGGCGACAATGTGATGAATGCGTTGAATAAAAAAGACAAACATTTTTGTGTGCGGTACAAAATGTACATTGTACTGTTGATACAATAAATGAATTGCGAAAGAGAGAGTGGGAGCAGAAAAAAGAGGACCAATTGCGTTGCAACATCGGATTGGCTGAATTGGTTAAGCTTGACTGGTTTTTTGTAGGATAAAACATTGCCACGACTGCTATGTTTCACTAATTTTATTTGCAGCATTTTAAAGCGACATAAAGTGAATTCTAACATGAAAACAATCAGATTAATCGAATTAAGTTGACCTCGCGCGCGTACACTCCCGTTCAACATCAATTTGTACCGTGTAAAATGGTCTCTATCGCAATTTTACGAAAAACTAAGTGTCACAAAATATATGGATGTATGTGTACTATTATCGTTCTATATTGTCAACACTATGATTATGGGTACGAGCAACAATCAAACTAGCTTTATTCGCCTGTGTGTTTTCGTTTTTGCATGTTCCATCCCGTTAAACATTGACGACATTCGCAAAAGCAAGTAGCAAACGTATAGATGTATGAAAATCCAGCTGAAGGAAAAACGATGAGAATTTGAAAATTGGCATTTCAATTTAATCGGAAATTGAATTCTTTACGCTTTTTACATCGTTTGGCAAAATCTCAGCAAAAGATGCATGCGCTCACACAGACATAGTACAATATAATAAAAACAATTTGTACCTGAGAGAATCTCTCTCTGTCGATCGGAATCTATATAAAAGCGTAGTTCATCGTAAGCTAGAGAGAGACAGTGTTTATGTATTTGACGCGCACGATACGATTTAATACGCAGATGGGAATTATATGTTTACCAGCCAGAACAAATCTACGATACCGTACACGAATGATATACACGCTACAAAAGCTCTAGAGTTAAACATAAATGCACTTTTATAGTAGAAGCGTTAAGAAAAAGTGAACTCGTAATATCATGAGGTTTTTTTTCCCTTCGTTGTCGTCATTTTTTTTAGCCAACGCGTTCTCAATCTTATTCACTTTCTCTCTCTCTCTCTCTCTCTATCTCTTTCTAACTCTAGCTCTAGCTCTTTCCATCTCTTGTTGTCGCCCTTTTTTCCACTATTTATGCTAAAAAGAAAATATTTCCCTGAACGCTACAATGCTAATAATGTAAATCAATCTCAATTTTGCTTTTGGTTGCTTGTTCGCGAAATCTTGAAAATCAACAAAATCGAATTTTAATAGCTGCAAGCGTTATAAACGTTAATGTCCTCTGTTTTCCATTTTACTCTCGCATCGCTTTTCGTCCGCATTCGCGTTCGCGTGCGCATCCTCATTCAGTTCAATTTTTAATTCACTTCACCATGCGATAGCGCAAAAGTGTTCAAAATACAAATTTTGCGGCGGGTATGCCTTTTTAACGACCTTTTTTCGCCATTTTTTCTTCGCAAAGCAATCAAACATATTGAAGCAAAATCTCGGTTTGGCCAATTATGGTTATGCGTTACGATCAAAAATCAAATATATGCACAGTTATTGACGGTCTGTTTCAAGAACGACCGTTAAAAATTCATCGAACATTGATGGTTCAACATTTTTTTTCTCGCTTCTCCCCATTCTCATTCTCTCTCTATCTCTCTCTGTGTGTGTCTTCGGTCTCTGTTACGTTCGCCTTCATGGGAATCGACGGTTGGTTTGTGTGCTTCATGGTTTTTCCACTGACCATGACCCTTCGAGCGATTGGTCAGAGTGGCTGCTTTTACCAGTGCTTAATGCTTATGTATATGCATGATGGTTGAACGCTATTTCATACCTTGTGCGACGCTTTTACTTCCAAAATGTAATAAATGTGATGATTTTTACGATTATGAGATATTACATTTAAATAATGTGCGATATATCGCCACCATACAAAAAAATGCCATCCCCTTCATAGCAATATTATTAATGTAATCTTTTTAAAAGGAAACGATATTGTGGAACGCAGATGTGAGCTGTTTTTTTTTCTGCATATACATATTATATACAGAAGTAGAGTGCTCGAAAATGAATCATTTCAAGTGATGGAATCAGAAAAGTTCCATGTGAATCGCTTTATTATTTTATTTTTCGTCCGGTGCGCGTTTCGATTCCCAAAACTCACTCTCCAACGGAATGAATGAATTCGAATGTTTTTTTTTTGTGCAAAGTGCTCAAAATGGTGACAATCATTAGGATTGGATGAATAAAATATTCACACTTGAAACATTCAATTTCCTGTGGATTGAAATTTTTTTCTTGAGAGAGATTTGGTGTTGTTATTCTTGTTATTTTTACCATTATCCAACTGTTTTTTCTACAATATATTTTTAAATAAATGAGCTTTTTTATCGACGGCGACACAATCTTCAACAACACTTATTGCCTGCTTCTAACGGATGCGACTCCCCATCACGCGTGACTTATTTTCATTTTGAACATTGGTGACACAAACATGATAGACACAAACCCACACTTTTTTCTCTTTCTACATCCATCTATCTTGGCAGGCCAAATCTGCAATGAATTGGCTTGCAAAAAGCCACAAAATACGAATATGCCATTGACAGCGAAAATGAAAGTATTAGTGTGAATCTATTGCCGTTTGGATGACATAAAAAATGTTCTTATTCTTTTGTTCATGAATTGAATCCGCTCATCTTATCTCATATAAAATGCATGGTGTGAGCGGGAGTAAGAGTCGACTCTCTTTACAAACTGTGTACGGATATGGTAATAAAACGAAACAGCGGATAAGTGCTAATGCCAAATGACTTTATCCATAAAAGATACACCAACGATGGTAAATGCTACAGGAGTGCAAAGTAAAGAGCAAACGAGAGACAAACAAAAAAGAAACACGATCGCGTGGAGTATATAAGCATAAATGGTTGCCAGAGACAAGTCAAAAGACTCCTCCATTCACATAGAACCCAAAACTACGGTAAACTTTTTTATGCACGCATGTGTGTGTACTCTTTTTCCTAGCCTTTATTCAGTGGTAAAGCCAAAAATGAACAATCGCCAACTGTCGTTGGCAGCAATATTTTACCAATTTTCCATGCAAAAGTCACCGACCAATGGTTAATATTTTCTTTTGCGATTTCATTTTCATCTTCTTTTGATGTTTGATTGGAATTTTCTTTTTCCTTTCACTGTATGAATCCCGACGGCTTCCGATTCGTATTTGATGTCTTGCAAATTACTCTCGATTTCTATTCGGAAGAGCGCATCAAAAGGTGCCTGGAGGGTGGGATTATGGATTGTAGTTGACAATGAAAACTGTCTGAATTGGTCTCAAAATAAACAAACACCGATTTCAATCAACTACAAAATTCACACAATCTTTTTCGAGCTTACACAAACTGCCATTGTTATCGTGTATGCTATTGAATTTTCTTTCTCCTATGTTTTTCTCTTTCTTCGCTACTTCTGTGGGTGATTGAATAGAATTACAGTAAAAGATGTGCATGCAATAAGAGACGTAATTCATTTACGTTGTCTAATGCACGTTCGTTTTCATTTTGATTTGACACTTTGATCCGTTAGATAAAAAATAACATGAACAAACGAATGCAATCAACGACACCAATGACATACCTTCATGGTTCGTCTCACGCTTGCTCACTGGCTGACTAGCTCTTGTTTTTGTTCCATCAAGCTGACTGGTAACTATGTGTGATATGGCGAGAGAGCGAGGGCGAAAGCATCAAGAACTCAGATGCCGTTTCAACCTCTACTTTCGTGCGCGCTTCATCCCATTATTTTGTTTTCCTCCCTGTGTCTGTGTGTGTATGGCTGAGGCGAATTCAATTGAATTGAGTGACAATGGAATGAAACCTCTACTCCATTAGCTTTTAATGAATAAAAAGGTGTGCACCGAATGTGTTGTTCACACCACATTTGCTGTCATTTGGAAATCGAAACTTGGGACTTATAAATGATTCCGAAGGTCTTGACTCACACGAAGATCGCGGAGGCATTCATTGAATATATATCATTGACAGCAAACGCGCGTTTCTAGAATACTGAATGCGTTTTTTTTTTCTCTCTCCCGTTGTTTGTTCGTTCATTCGAAGTACTTGTGCTGAGAGGGTGCGAATGAAGTATCAAAGAATGCTTTTTGCTTTAAATTATAAGGCAATTCTTTTGTTTTGATATTGGGTGACGTGCACATCGAAAAATTGGCTTCCCCAAGGAAAATTAAAAAACAGAAAAAGTCGAGAGTGAGAGAGAGAGAGAGAGAGCGAAAGCCCCGGAGTTTAATCAACAATGTAATGTCAATGAAATGCATTTTAAAGGTTATTCCATGAATGATGATATCATTAATTTTCCGGTGTTGCCAAAATGAGGGGCCTTTCCAATGACTTCTATTTTTTCTTCTTTTGTACGCGCCTTGCTGATGTTGTTTTGTGTTGTTGTTATTTTTTTTCAACATCCAAAAATTACCAGAGCAACTACGAAGAAGAAAAGAAGAAGACCGAGCGAAAAAAAAACACAACGAAGTACACTTTGTTTGTGTCTTGCTTCCTAATGGCTAAATATTCTTCGGCTAATTAAAATGGTACGAATACAAGAGAATAAATAGAAAGCTGTCGGGCTTAAGCTTCTTGGAATTTATGTTTGCCTAGTTTGCGAATGAGATTATTCACTTTGGCTAAATAATAAACAGCCAGAATGAGACTGGTCAAAGAGATAGAGAGAGAGAGAGAGGAAGATAGAGAGAGAGATGTTTGATTCCTCATTCGCGAATGATCCTTTTTTTATGAATCAGCTAAACTCCGAAAAGAGAAAACACATTTTTTGTGTGTATACATTGAATGTAATGCTTTTTATTTGCACTCATTCTCTTTTATGGCCACAAAATTGTGTACTATGATGTAATGAAAATTACATCGGAAACGTACCAAAAGCCACAGATGAAGCAGAACAAAAAACGACCCGAAACAGAAAAAAAAAACTGATGCTGAAGCATTGTAATCATTCAACATAAATAACAGAAAAGAACATGATACAGTTGTATGCGGACAAAGTACAACTACGTAAATGAAATATACAAGAAACTAGTGGATGGTGAATCACAATGCTTTTGTTATGAATCTTGTATGCGAAAGTAAAAGAGTGAGAGAGAGTGAGGAATCGAGAAACAACGGAATCTAACACAAAGCGAATATCGTTACAAATCCATTTGGATATATACAACCATACTCAGTGGGCGAGCATTTGAGAAATGAAAATAGAGCCGGGTATTTCCGTGGAAAATTTAAAGCGAAATAAAGTAAAAGGAGAACATAAAGTTTCTCTTTTTGATGTGTTTTCTTTACGATTAAGCCGAGTCGATTGGATACTTTCTTCTTTTTTCGGATGATGGCAACCGCACAATCCTCTCCATTCGATTCATCGTCATCGTCAGTTGACGACTCAATGATATTGAAGATGAAAAAAACAACAAGTATTCCAACCTCATGTTCACACGTTTGAAATCGCATCATATCAAGCAATGTAAATGTCGAATAGATTCTACACCTAGATTGGGTTGAAAATGAGACCATCATAAAAGAGACCTGTATGTCGACGACAAATGGCTACGGTGTGGTTACGACAGCAGAACTATCGTTGCCGCCGTCGTTGTTGCTGGAACGACATGTGAAATAAAAGGTAGACTACACATGGATGTGACGATGATGTTTCATGGGTGTACAAAATGCCGATTGAAACAGAGAGTATTTTTCCACAGGACAAACTTCGTACACACACACACACACACACACACACACACACACACACACACACATACCACCTAACTAACACACAGCACACACAACATGAGCAATTCATAAAAGTGACCTACATACGACGATGCTACATCTTTTAATACAATTGAATCAAGAAGCACTACGTCAAATGCGAAATAAAAAAAATATCCGCACACACACACACACACCAAATGATACATAATGGGAATTTATGTGAATTTCATGCACATAGCATCGTCATAACCACGATAACAACAGATGAATAATGCCATGAGTATAAGCGCAATTTTGAATAGATGAGACTAAATCGAAAAACAATGCGATCACATATCAGAAACCCTAATAGAAAATAAGTAAGGGAAAAAAATTGTGTGGAATTTAACAATTGAGTAAAAGGTGGGAAGATAAACGTCAATGTGTGTGTGCTCACACTGCCATTTATGTGCCCATGTTTCAATATATGGGGTCTGTACACAATGCACATACACATCCCATCGTACACGCACACACAATAGGAGCCAACAACACCAACAAATTACCAGAAAATTGAGTTCGAAGAACGAAAAGGAGACAAAGCGACTGAAACACGGGTACACAATTGAGGAAACGAACCATCTCACAGAGTAACCATAACCACCGCCAATACCACGGAGACGAGAAACTCTGCCACACACACACACACACACACACACACACACACACAATCTCTCTGTCTCTCTGCATTTTGATGTGGTAAACGCTCTTTGCACAGAGACCGAGACAGTAGCAAAAGACCGAAAAAACTTCGTCTTTAATAACCTTTAAAGTTATGTGTCAGAAGAGAGCTTTTGATATTTATGATTATTGTCGTTTTTCTCCGTTTATTTTAGTTAGGAGTCTGTGGTGGAAATTTGTTTCATTTATTTGCTGTTATATTGCGTTTATCGTTTCGGTCCCCGAAGCTTAAAAGCCATTTAGAGGCATGTGTGGCATATAGAGGAAGGACGAGAGTGAGAGAGAGAGAGAGAGAGAGAGAGCCAGAGAAAGCAAAAACGAAACCAAGAGTCGCATGATCAACTACTGCTGGCTGAAATACCAAAATAAATATTTTCACAAACAGCATAAAACCATATCTTTCACTATGACTATATAAAGGAATTCGCGAAGGACAAATAATTTCCATTTATGTACCCACACAATACAAACAACACACGCTCGCAATCACAAAATCAGGCACACACACACATAAACACAAACGCACACGCACATTGCGTTTATTATTTTTATCGGTTCCAATTGTGCTGGACGAGAGAGATAGATAGATAGATAGAGAGAGAAGTTTCATTTTATTATGGACCCATGAATCACGTTTATTGCTCTGATATTTTGCTGAACTTTATTAATTTTGCTCGATGCTCGTATTGCTTTCCGATGTTCCCATATGTGCGCCTCTTTAATCATTTTCTAATGGGCAACAAATCGCAAAATAAATCTGCCTTTATCAATTTCATTAGAAATGATGTGGAGTACGGAGTGAAGAGGGTGACAGGCTGTCACTGACAGCACACACACATACGTTTAAGTTGCGAATTCGATTAAGACCATTCAAGATAAACAAGAGAACAATTATTAATTAATAAAGGATACGACAGATAGCATAATACAAAAAACACAAATTCCGATGGAAGATAGTTTGACCGAAGTTTTCCGCATTAATTTGACAAGTATATCGAAAATGTGTTTACAGAATGTAGATTGTATCATTCACTCCTAATTGTGCACTAAATCATATGATTGGTCCTTTTTATTGTTTATGTTTATCGATAAACAATTTTTGCTGTAACTAAATTGTTTCATCTTTTCTTCTCTTTTCCTTACAGAATATTCAACACTTGTACAACAACGGATTTGAATATCAACACACTAACTCTTCACATCAATGGGTAATTATTATATCTATGTTCATACGTGCATTTTATTTCTCTGTGATCATCTTGAGGATATCAGAATACATCCTAATGATGTTTGATAATTATCGATGCGAAACAGGAAACACAAATCAATAATCTTTTCATCCATGGTTTCGCTTTTCATAGCTACAAACTATTCCTGTGGAAAACTACATATCTCTAATAGTAAAGAAACCCAAACTTCGTATGTTACTTATGAAATGTAGCCTTGAAGGTCCAAATGTCGACCGTTCGATTCGAACGAAATTATAATACAGGTAGAGATCAAATCTCACATATCATCCACGAGCAGTAATCAGCCATAAAACACACCCGAATGTATTATGTAATTCGAAGAGGCGGTTCAAGCCATGGGGATTTTTCTCTATGTTGGTTATATATTTTGCGCTGAGCACCGTTTCTCATGCTACACCAAATGATCGTAATTGCACAGCATTTGCTCGAATGGCTCATTTAGCTTCAATTTTGCGGCAATATAATGCCATAATTCTATCAAATACAATTACTGCATAAAGAGAGAGGGCGGGCGAGCCGGCTGAGCGAGATAGAGAGTTAGAGAGAGCCCAGAGCCCATGCGATAAGCAAAGTTATAATCTAACTAAATGCCTTAAGTGAAAATGCAAAGCTCAATAAGACGAACACAACACACACACACAGTCAGAGTGAGTTCAGACAGTGTGCGAAATTTTCTATGTCTTGTGTACGGCATTCCGGTGAAGGCAACGGCCTTCACATCACATGTAAACCTCGTCTGAGATAATAAAATGTAAATAAAAATTATGGCCAGAGCCAAAACAGTTTGTTTTCGAAAATCAAAGTTTTAATTGATGTTTATCGTTTATTCAATTTGAGACGTTCACAAAACACCCTCAAAACACTTTGGCGTTCAACCCACAAAAATGCGAACAAGTGAAAACAAGAAAATCAAGAGTGTTGTGAGAATGAGAGTGAACAACACGTACATAACGATCACTACGAATGTTTGTATGTCAAGAAACTTTGTAGCTCATCGTATCAAATTGAATTAATGAAAAGGATACCATTTTAATTTCGGAGCTTCCACCCGAACGGTCATTCTCTTCTGCTTGCCTGAGTTTTACGATGAAATCATATTATGACGGTCTAAATTGGGGTAATACATTCGAACAAAATAACGAAAGAAAAAAATGCTGTAGAAAAGTGGATATTGATTAAATGAGCTTACATCAGCTTACATCATATATTCAACAAATGAAGCAGAAGTGAAAAAAAAATTATACCGTAGTCATGGAGAAAAAAAAAAACATTTTGTAATTAAAAATGCAGCAGAATTCGTGGAATTTTCGTTGCGAAGCGTTGAAATGGATGCTTTTCAACTCGTACAATTTTAATCAACCAACTGAATAGCAGTAAATTTCAACGTAGAATTTAATTTATTTTAGCCGGATAGAAAATTCAATCGAGTCTCGGAGATCGGGCGCTACGCTATTATGTTTGGCAACAATATATTGACTTTGCACAAACAACTCGTATATGTTTAACTTTTGTGTTGCAACACATCCCAACGTTGTATAGTCACATAAATCGTACGCCTTTTATTCACAATAATCCACTTCATTTTCTCGATATTTGGTTGTCGTACCGTCGTGAAAGTACCGAGAGAGCAGCCAGCAATGGTGATGACAGGCGGCCATGGGGCATTTATAATTGAATTTTCTCTGCGAATCATGTGGAAAACCAAAGGAAAGTCGTAGAAGTTGACTAAAGGTTTCATATTTGAACGATGGATTCAAGTCGACTCGGCGAGCTGAGGTGGTTAAAAGACAGAGAGAGAGAGAGAAAGAGCGCGAGAGTGAGGAGCACACACATGAAACGCTAATAAATTGTAGATGAAATATGGTCTTCACATGCTTTCGTCACATTGCCTACATATCTACGTAACATAGTGTTTGTGTTGAGCCGTTGCCATTATTTTTGCTTCGGTTGTGCTATTCGAATACGCCCCAAGATCGCTTCGAGTAGAAAATTCAGTGCTTCATAATTGTTGAAAATAAACGAAAGACAATGAAGATACATGCTGTTGTGCTGGTGATGCATATTCTGCACGTACCTTCAACGAAACAATATGCGGCATACAAGCCAATCCAGGCAAATGTTTTAATCCTCAATAGCTAATAAGTTCGGGCAATAATGGCATGTAAGATTATGAGCTTAAGTACTGAATACTAATCGTGGCATGTGTTTGTTTGCTGAATGTATTAACGCCGAACAACCACTCGAAATGTGCCGGATGAAACTTTTACACACAATGCATCCCATGCATGTCCATATTTTTCGTCACACGAAAATTATATATCCATAACAAACAAAATAGTTGCTTGGTAACAGTTTTCAAAATTGATTTGCAAGCGACGAGGCGAAAAGCGACGAGAATCACGCGCGCATATCAATTTGAATCAATGTGTGAGCGTATCCAGATGATGTTCGCCGTTTTCTTGTGTCTCGGGTCCATATTACAGAAAAGTAATATGTAATGAAGGCTACAGCGGATGATTCGAATTATTAATTAGCACGATGTACTGCTAATTTAAAAATCAATATATATCCGAGATGCCATACGAGAGATGGAGAGGGAGGGGGAGAGGGAGAGGGAGAAAATATACCGGGTCTCGCGTTACGTAAACCAAGCCAATTTGATGATAATGGATTCCGTTCGTATAGTTTTCTCTTGTGGCAGAGCAACTCTCTGGCACTTTTTCAGTCGCCCGTTGTGTGTTAAGGAACACAAGGTATTTTATGTATGCCACAACATTCCAGCTAGCTCAATACACCTCGAAGCGTTTCAAATTTCTAACATTCCTGATGTAGTTGACTTAAATTTATGGAAATCCGTGAAGGTGAGCTTAATTGAGATTATACAACTACAAGAACCACTCGAACGAAACGAAGCGAGCCTGATTATATATATATATATAGATCGATATGGGGAAGGTAGACACTTTTTGGAATGTTGGCTCAGTTCGGTTTAGTGTGGTTCGGAACTTTTCCTCTTGATATTTCCATGGGACGAAGGGAGCTAACAAAATATTTTTATTTTCTCGGCGTGTGACAGTAATGTACACCAGGTGCCATTTTAATGACAACAAACGCTGGGCGACTCGGCACGAATTCATTAGGGAACAAATGTGAGACCATATTTCCTTAGCGCAATTAAACGATTGTAATTTAGCTTCACGCTGAAAAACAAGAAGTAAAAAAAAACACACAAAAACTCACATACACACGGAGAGTGAGGGTAGCTAAGACATCCTTTTTCTTTGTAAAGCAAGAAAATTGAGCGTCATTTTTCTCGCATTACATGGTATTACTTTCGTCTGTCGCGGATTACGTGGAATTTTTCTCTTTTTTTGGAATTATTGCAGCATTAGATTCATCACTCAAACAAATTATTCGTTCGTTTGCGAATTTATTGCTCCGTATCGTACACTCGTCGTAGCTTTTTCCCCAAGCCATATTCAATCTTTCGGTGGCGCCGTTTCATATCTCTGCACAAACGTAAGGAGATCTCTCAATTGCTGGAAATGTTCAAAGGACACTTAAATAAAACGGAAGAAGAAAATGAAGAAAAAGCCATGTTCAACAACACAAAATACCAGTACAATTTTCTAAGTTACTCCAAAACAACGCATTATTATGATTTTTCAAGTAGATTTATTGCGATGTCAGTATCAGCCTTTCTGTTACTCTTGAACGAAATAGGAAATAATGCGTGGATGCAAAGCGAGTACATCATGCATATGATTGGAGATTCGTTTGTTCATGCGAATGCGAATGCGAACAAGTGATTCTAGCGACGCTCTCGCAGAACTGTTGTCACCACTGATCATGATGACGACTATTTGAAATAACAATATAAGCAATAACAACACGAAGAGAAAAAAAAGAACAAAATAAGATAAACAAATTCTGACGGCATGCCTATCGTATGAAAAATGAAGGATACCACACATTTTTTGATAAAATTGTGAAAATTCCGCCTTTTTCCATCACACATACACACACATATATGAGTGTGTACACGCGCTCACACACACGAAAACCAACGAAACGAAAATTTGCTGTCATTTCTCTCCCGTCCAGATTACTGTTTACGTTTACTTCATGCTGAGCACCACTTGTTTGGTTAAAATATGCCAAAAAAAGAGATGCGTAGCAATTCTTTAAAGCATTCCAAACAGCACGTCAATAATTTGCACACACAAAACATAGTGGATACACACACATTTTTCGCCATTTGATCGAGATACACATATATAGAAGCAAGTACACAAAACCAAACAGGACAGAGAAATGAATATTTAGCATATATAGCTTCTGCGTCAGTTCACTTCATTCTCAACAAAAAAATATTTTATTTCCAGCCGAAAAGAGGCAATTTTTTTTCTTCTCTCGCTTCTGTTCCTATTTTGTGCTGAAATCGCTTAACTCATTTAATTGCATTTTAAAAAGCATACTCTATTTTAAGCAATAAAACGGCGCATTTCTCTCTCTCTCTCTCTCTCATCCATTTTCCGCCTTTCTCGACAGAATGTTCTCTCGCTGTTTATCGTCACATCTTTCCTTCTACATCAATTTTGTTTCTGAACTTCAATTTTAAATTACAGAAAGTGATGGAATAAGAGATGGAATAATATGCACGCACACGCTACTTTTCATTAGTATCATCGGCGTGTGATTTTGATAAAAACCATATAATGAAGTTTTAATGCGATTAGTACAAATATATGCGGCACAAAGTCAGCTAGTTGATATTTGATTTATTTTTATGGACGCTTTTCATCTTCTTTTTTATTACAAGATAAACTTTCGCACGCGTCGCCACATGGCGGTGCTATGCACATGCGGCCCGCTAGACAGTGGTTTGAAGTGAATCGAAGGCCTGAAAGTCTACAATCAGATTGTGGCAAAGCAAATCGCATTTATTCGCCTACGTGTTTGAATACCAGCCCACTTGTTGAGATAACATACAGCTATGATGATGTCACAATAACCACTTGTATGTTTCATGAACCACCAACTTGTATGTTAAAGCCTGACGCATTCTCCCCTACCATACCGTAACACAAATCGAAAAAGAAGAAAATATTGTCACACCAAACACTAACAAAATGATTAAACGAAAAGACAAACCGTACAAGTTTGCCAATTTGAAATTTCGAGTGAGCTCAAAGTTTTCCGCTTATTGTTTACTGAATTCACAATTGAGTTGCGAGAGCTCTCTTTCTTTCTCTCTCACTTGTTTTGCACGTGTACCAATTTGACTCCCAAGTCAAACAATAGTTGCCGTAGTTCAGAGCATATATTCAAATAAACAAATTTAGTTTAACACTTATCATAAACTGTATATAGAGAGTTGCGAGACTATAAATCATACACACCATTTCACATGCAGCGCAACACCGAAACACATTTCAAATATTTACAAACCGAGCCAAAATTTAAATATACACACGCATGTACATCAGGGCTACAAAACTATTAGATGGAGGTTGAAATACACATCGTGGTAAAACTAAATTTAACCATTTATTAAAATGGTCCCCATTTATCATCATCACCACCAAAACTGCCAACAGATTTAATCATCCCTGCATAGTTTGGGCAGTATTGTAAATGTGGTGCGATTCAAATAATTTGTGTCTGTGCGCTTGTTGTGGTTAAAATTCAATTCATGTGCAAAAATGTCAAGGCGAAGCGGATCCTTCGAAAACATCCAATCTAATACTTTTAATAGGACTTTTTTGCGACATTGTATCAACCATTTCCGGAATCATGCGATTATCATTTGCATAACGCAGAGAAAAAGTTAATTTCAATTGTTTTTCCCATTTCAAATGGGCTTGTTTGGACAGTAAGAACAGTGAATGAAAATAATGCACACATACAGAGAGAGAGATAGAGGCAGAGATAGCACACCACAGAAAAAAATGAAGATCAGCGCATGAAAGAACGTACAGTGTGAGCACTTTCGCACACACTAAACAAAAAAAAAACAGAGCAATGAACAAAGTTTAGCTACTGATAATTTTTCGTTGTGTGACTTCAAACGAACAAGTGACATGAAAACAAACGAACTGGAATGCCGGATGATTTTTCCTGTTCGCCTTTTTTTTATCTTTTATGTTTTTTTCCTCTATATTATCTAGCTCGTGTATGGGTGCTCAAGTCGTGCGTACAATTCGATATATGTTCATATATACTTGTAAATGAGCTCACATTATCATATATGTACATATGAATGAATGTCTTGGTTTGGTATGGTGAAGCATGGCTTACTTCCTGAATATGTGCGAATTTGCCAAATCGATATTTCCACTTCAGCATATTTCATTTGAATTTAATTGTTCGCAGAAACAAAAAAAAATGTAACAAGCAACCAACCAACGAGAAGGGAAAAAAACTGTGCAATTTCACAGTGCTCGAAATGGAATGTGCGTTGGCGTAGTGCCATGTAGCTCAATATTTTTTTATTCGGTGATAGCGTGAAATGTGCCATTTTCCATACCATACCAAATGGCATTGATAATACTAAGCGAAATATACCTCTCGTTCGGCAGAGAGGTAAGTAAACATAATGTCGGCACAGTAAGTCCGTTGATATCGCTCATTCTTCGATGCGGTTGTACTATCTCAGGTTTACAGGATGCTCACAGTGCGAATGCTCAATCTCTTTGGGTTGGGATGTTATTTGTGTGTGTGTGACTCCAATTAAGCCGATTTTTTCCCTCCTTTACTACCCCTCATACCGAAAAGCGCACGCTAAATATCAGCCAAAAAATATGCCGTGGCAAAAAGCATATAGACAGATTCAAATTCCATCACGCTGAGCAAGATAGCTAGACGAGCGTGTGAGAGACAGAGACAGAGAGAGCTTTTATTTTAGTCGACGACTACGACAACGGTGAACGAGAAATCCCTAAATTCGATTATTATATTTGAAATGTTTCATTTGGTTGTATGACTGTTTTCGTTTTTTTTCCTACTATTGTGAATACCGCATGATGTACGAAAAGAGCCAGGTTTTTAACGAGGCGAGAACTGAAATTTATACATAATAATATTTCATGGTACAAAACCAGCGGAAAATAAAACCAGGCAAAATAAGTGAGATACAGAATCACCACCAGTGAAACGAAAACAAAAACAGCAACAGTGCTGGCATAACCTAAAATTTGCATTTCTTGGAACGTTAAGTTTTGTTGAATGGTTTGGAGGGAAAATGGTATCGCGCAAACCATTTGTATGAAGATAAATTCGATGCTCATTGCTGCATATAAATGCCAGCATTTTTGCTCTTTTTTTTGTATAAAACATTCAAAATAAAAAGCTGTTATTCACTTCGTCGTGTTTTTTTCCCATCTGACGTTGAAATCTCTGGACGGAGGGAAAAATAAGCCATTCGCGTGATTTGAAACATACAGTCAGAGCATAGCATTGATTTGATGTTTTATACGGTGATGAACGACGTAATGTGTTGTTGTGCATGGCTGCCATAGAATAAATGAAGAAAAAACAATGTCTATGCCACACGGTCTGTGGCCCATAGACGTACACTCATTTTAAATATGAAAAAATGTGTAGTAAAAATATTGAATGGGGGATTAAATAGTGTTTGTTGTGTCTGTAGAACATTTTTTTTTCTGAAATGATTTGTTTTTTCATTCTGCTTTCGAGTATAAATAGCAGTGAATGAAAGCATTTGGTTGATTCCATTTGAGCAAAAGTCAAAATAAAACTGAACAATAGCTGAGTTCCGCAATAAAAGGCCAAGAGAAGTTTGTATACAAAAAAGAAGCTTATTGAATGTAAAGAAAAAAACGGAAAGCTTTCATAAACTTTAAAATTCATTTTGATTTTTATTAAAATACAAGTGAACAAAAAACGGAACTGTTGAATGCATTTATGACATTTAATGCGAAAGTTCAAAGCAAATGGGATGAGTAAGAAAAATAATGGTGAAGAACTAGAACAAGCCCATTCAATGTTATTTAATATCACTATGCTATGTGTGGCACTTAGTTTGAACGAGTAAAGAGAAAAAGTCAGGGAGATAGGAGTAAAAAAACGCACCCAGTTGGATGTCAGTGGGAAAATTTGCCGTGAATCCATTTAGCCTCGAAAAGAATGTAAAACTTGAATAAAGAATGTTTTTTCTCGCTCTCACTCCCTCTTACTCTCTCTCCCCCCCTCTAACTCTCTCGCCAAATAGAAGAAGATGCTCTCATATTGATGAAGATCACGTTGCTGCAAACGATTTGCAAATAAGACACATACACACCATACACAATCCAATCTTAATCAAGCCTTCTGTAAAATGGTCATTCAGTGAAATGGTTGTGTACATAAAATTCAACTACACCCGCTTTACAAAAGTTATAAAATCATTATGAAGAGTGTAAAAATATTTTGTTTTGTTTTGTTTCGTTTCGCATATACTTTTGGATGTTTGCACATAGCAAGTACCGGTGCCTTGTTAGTCTGAAAATTTTCAAATGAAACGACAACGGAGATATAGAGTTTAAGACTAAGTTAGACAAGGAAGTTAAGAATTCGGTGTAATTTAAGTAAAAAGGAGAAGGCGAAAAGAAAAACTTTGGGGGTGAAAGCGTCGCTAACAACTTCACTCAAACTTTTACTTTCGACAAAGCAAATGATGGTAATTTAAGTCTATTCAAAACCTGAAAAACAAACATTCACCGTAATGCAAAGTAAACAGATCCGCTTCCATCTTCCGTTCATTCTGAATAATAAAAGTGAGCGAGAGAATGTGTCGGTATCATACTCGTGGTATGTGTGTGCGTTTTGTGTTTTTTCTTGGAAAAAGGTAAGACTTTGTTCTTATGCTGATGAAAATTTGATTGACGAAGATTTTATTACACCATAAATCCGCTTTCGATCCAACTTTAAACCACGGATGAACGTGTGGAATAAGGGCACAATAGTATATTCATACCAGCCACCCCGCATTCAACCACGGTATTTTAAATTAGAAAATGAAAGTTTTACATAAAATGGGCTCATAATTTGCATCATTCCATCGTAAATTCCAATCATGACCAACTTTTGTACCATTCACTTATAATTCATAACAAAACAGTGGCAAGCGGAGTTAATTGTTTTCATATTTTGATTACAATTTTCACAACCGTTGGAAATTAGGGGAGGAGGCGAATTTAGCATTTAATGAGTGGTAGCGAAATTGTACGATGATTTTTGATTTAGCTACTAGTAGCCCGGAAATGTCATGTTGAGCACGAACAACACACATTGTATTAGCCCGAAAACTGGTATATATGGAGTATTAATTCGCTTGATGTGATACATTTGTGTTCGAATTACCAAACAATGGCATCATGGTTATTCTAATGTGAAAACTGACATAAAATGTCGAAAGATAAAGCTTTGTATTTATAATTTGGAAATTTTATTGCGCAGCATATGATCAGTATGATAGCAAGAGACTGCAGACGCTAGAAACCGAACAAAACATTTCACTTTTGTTTCCTCTCTTTCGGTGCGTCATTCACAATGTGTATATATATTTGCACAAAATTCAAATATTCACAGTAATCCATCCAAATCGTACATAGGTCAATAAGAGAAGCTATGCCATGTATCCCATGGGTAATGCCAGATTCAGCAAGTGAAACCGAATCAATTTGATGTGATATCCCACCGAAAAAGATTATGCAAGGATGAAAAAGCAAATTGCTTTGTCATATATCTAGCATTTGTAAGGTTAAGAACGTACTTATACACCCAGCTGCACGCTGTCCAAGATAAAACCTCTCATTTATTATCTTTTTTTTTCGTTATTTTTCTTTCTTTCTTTCATTCTTCTCTTTTATCTGTTCGTATGATTTGCAGAGCAATCAAGAAATCGCTTGCGAAATCCACAGTTTGGGTCAAGTTTTAATGCACAGGATGGTTTCAAAATTGTGGTGGAAGAATCAAACAATTTCGATGACAATGATGTGGCCACCACTAGCACAAATCAATCAACGCCGCGTGATAGTTTAGATATAGGCTCACCATTAAATCCGTATCTCTTGTCACCATGGCGAGAAACACGAAAGCATTCGCTGCCATCGCAGCAAGTGACGGAAGGTATTACAGCGAGCCAAGTGCGTCGTCTATCGGAACGAGGCGGCGAAGGATCGGGACCTTCACCAAGGGTATGTATACTGTTGCCATTATCATTCATCATTTTGTTATTAAATTACGATACATTTTTCCGTTTAATTTCCTGTTGATTTTTAATGCACTTCGTTCTCAATTTAACATGCACGAAATAAAGGAAGCGGAATTTTTAGCTACATTATCACAAGCACCACAACCATCCGGTCGCCGGCATTCAGTGGTTACAATATCAAAGGTGCCGTTGTCGGTATTCGGACGAGGCCGTCGAGAATCGGTTGCAGCATATCCATCGGGAACGGGTAGTCGGTACGTAATTTCAGCCAATTGTCTAAAACATTCTTCTTTTTTTAATGAATCAACTCAACATGCAAATTCTCCGCTTCATCAAGTATTCCATAATCTGGCTGACATTCTTTTATGGAAAAATACAAAACCTCAATATAAAAACCTCACAATTCCGGATTACTCCTGGCTTTGGCTCTATTTTTAGACATAAGTTCCATTGTATAAGAAATGTTCTGTGTTGTGTATGTGTGTGTGTTTGTTGTCGTTTCTTTTTTTGTGCGTTATTCCAAAAGATAAGTTTTTCGCTTTTGTTCGCAGAACTTTTATCGGTAAACAAGCATGCATCTGATTTCGATCTCAGATTTCAACAATGTTCTGGGGAATCGAATAAGTTAGTTGTCGGTTTGATATGAGCACACACATACATACACACAGCCCATACATAATATATAATCTAATAATGGAATTTTCCATGAACTTCATGCCACACAAAATGAAATATAAAAATAAAAATGCTGTCCCTGACGCAGAAAAGAAAAGAGCAGCATTGATTGAAATTTTTATTGAACCATTTCTCTTTTATTTTGCTTGTTTATGCGCAGCGTATTGGGCTCACGGCGAGAGAGTCAACAATCAACTGGTCCGCCGGCCACCGATCCAATTGGCAGCATACACAATTTACAGCTAGACATAATGGACGATATTGTGCAAGCGCGTAAGGCCCGCATGAAACTGTGGAACACAAGCAATGAAAAAGTGTGTGAGGTGCAAACGTATAGCGATGCAGGCAGTACAAGTGCAACACGATACACAAATCGGAGATACTCGGATTTTGTCGGTTCGACACCATTGGCACCAATACCGGCAGCATCGTTAAGACGCGCTTCAGAAATGCCCGTACCCATAACGCCATCGACATCCGGCGCTGCCAAATCGCCTTCGACCAGTTTTTTCAAACGAACCGGACTGTCCGTTACCAACACCGATTTCAAATCGTTAATTACATCGTTGGCATCATCAGCAACTGAAATCAACAAAGTGGATGACACGTCGCCGGGCAAATCAAGGCCATCAACGTCATCTGCAAATACATTAGCACCCGACCAAGGCATATCACGATCCAATCGTTCCAATAGTTTCGATGTGTCGATTTTGCACAACGCCAAACAAATGGTGACCGGTAGTTCGAATGACAAAGCGGGCTCAGCTGCCGCTCAACTGTCCGGTTGGTTTGAAAAACGTCATCAGCCAATGTCACGCAAAAAATCAATTCGAAATACGGCCAATGTTACGGTTTCATTTTCCAAAGAAGTATTCGAACGTTTCAAAGAAAAGGAAACGCAAAAAGAACGGAAACCAAAGAGTCGCTTGCGTTGGGATAATAAGAGTTCGTTTGTCGATCCGCATATAATTGGAAATGCGATTGAAGGATTTTTGCGAAAGTCAACAAAATCTGGAAAAAGTCCAAAACGCAGTGCAGCCGCATCATCGTCATCATCATCATCCAAACCATCGACATCGTCGTCGTCAAGCTTTTGGTTTGGCAAAAGTGATGAAGATGATTCAAAAGACACTTGTGATTCGTCATTGTGCTCAACGCTTAAGGATCTGTTTGTGAAATAATATACCTGGGGCTTTAACTTGAGATGGTAAGTATTCGATTGACTGTGAAGCATTCATTTTCAACTAGTTTATTTGAAGGAGGAAATGGAAAGGAAAAGAGATGGAAAAAAAATAGAGGAAAAAGTGTTTAAGACAGACACTGAGAGACGTTCCAGGAAAGAGAACGATCCGATTTATCAATTAAGTGTAGCTAATCGGATGATTGAGTGTGAGTTCACCGTTAAAATTAGTCTTAAAAGATGGAAAATGATGATAAATTGGTGAATAAATAACAGCGTCAAATCCGTGAATCAGCTTCACATTTTATTCATTTCAGCTTTGATTTGAAGCGATTTTATGTGCGCGCTTACGCCATACGCTGAAGGTGTCAAACGGACGGACAACGGACGGACATTTGCTGTCCGTCCGTCCTTTTACAAATTTAGGACGGACAAATTTTTTTGTCCATCCGTTTGAAAATTCAGGACGGACAAATTTTTTTGTCTGTCCGTTTGAAAATTTAGGACGGACAAATTTTTTTGTCCGTCCGTTTGAAAATTTAGGACGGACGGACGGGCATTTCTTACAGAAGGACGGACAAAAGTATATGTTCGTTTGACTCCTGACGATATTTTTGATAAAACAATATCAGAAATGAATTCCTCGTCGAAAACTAAGTTATAATAGCTTATTGGATGTTCTAAAAGTTAGATTTGTGGGCTTTTTTGGACGATCAAAATATCAAACGGACGGACACATTTTTTTTGTCCGTCCTAAATTTTCAAACGGACGGACAAAAACATTTGTCCGTCCTAAATGTTCAAACGGACGGACAAAAAAATTTGTCTGTCCTAAATTTTCAAACGGACGGACAAAAAATTGTGTCCGTCCTAAATTTGTAAAAGGACGGACGGACGGACAAACGAGTGTCCGTTTGACACCTTTACCATACGCACAGTGTGCGCTGCCAGGTATTATTTACGTGAATTCTCATTCCATTCGTCGCATCTTCGTTTTACCTCTCATTCGCCGGTACTCAGCAATCAATGGTCTTGGCAGGCTTCCCATTCGCTGGTGCGAACACGTCAATCAAATCTAAACATAGTGACATCTCACAATGGAAAAATTGTGCGACGTCACATTAAACCTCAAAAACAAATTGTCTGCTAGTGTACAATAGATATCGCATATAGGTTATTCACAATTCATTGCGATCCCATTAAATGTGCGAAAATTTTAGTCGAAAATTGAAATATTCATTAAATAAAATAAGCTATTTATTCATATCATAGCTTCATTCGAAACAATCAACATGACATTTGCACAATTTTCTTCCGTTCATCGCGCTCCCATCGAAAATATCCATGATTTTTGAGTAATCTGCTCCGGAATCGGATGCCTGGGAGAATATTCCGCATCGCCAGAGACGAGGAAAAATTGCATTCCGTAGGATGGTGTATATCATCTTTTCGTTTCTTTCTCTGATTGGATGGATGAATAATAACATTTTGCCATTAGTTATCCATTTGGTGCGCCATTTGTTGAATAATAAATGGCAGGTGCCTCAAATCAAAATGCCAACTAATTTCGCTCAATTACATCACACTCCCCGCCAAAATGAAAATGAAGCGGAAATCATCAAACGATATCATGTAATATCGTATGGGCGAACTTTAATCCGAACCGTTAGGCTTGCGTGGAAAAGAGTGGCACAACCAGAGACGAAGACGAACAGTGACGTACAATGCGAAAAGAGAAAATCATGGCAACGTTGCCACAGGCACACAATCATCACAGATTTACTGTGGAAATCCAACTTTCGATGTGATTGCTATTGAGTTATTCAAATTGAATCAAAGATCTTGAATTTGCGCTCGCATATGGAAGAAAGAGTGAGTCGATTCACTTTACTTTTCTATAAGATCGATAATACCATTGCAAATACATTATGTATGTTAAATACATACGTCTATGTTTAATGTTTTTCGTTGCGTTCGTTCATTCGTTCTCTTCATTTGGTCGTTTATTCTCTCTCCCTCGTCAATTTCGGGTCACACACAACACACATTGTGTGTGTGTGTGTGTGTATGTATGCTACATGCCTCAATCATATCGTCATGAAATGATGTGCGGGGTCGAGACTTCGAAAAACGCACAATATTCTTTAGCTTTTTCTCTCATTTCCTCTCTCTCTCTCTCTCTCTCTCTCTCTGCCTCTGTTTTGCACCCTCATTCTCAATCTCATTCTTACTCATCCCACAACACACTCTACTATCGGAAAAGAGCTTTTATTTGAGACATAAACACAAACACACACGCGCGCGCGCTCGCACGCGACTGTCATTTTCGAAATCTATATAAAATTGATTCGACTAGATGCCAGAGATGCATATAGCATTAAATACACCCGAAATATAAAGGCAAAAACTCGTACGTGTGCGGTTTAAGAGATTCTATTATCATTTTGATGCTCATTGATTATTCAAGCGGAAGAGAGTAATATGAATGATTCCAGATTAGACACTCGATACTTTTGCTCTATCTCTCTCTCTTTCTCCCTCTGCCTCTCTTCATCTCTCGGTTTTTATGCAATGATGCTGAAGCGAGAACGAGTGTTTTAAGTACTTTTACAGTGATTTGAAATGAGCTCAACATTCGATTTTAGTTGTTGTTTTTTCCATTTCATTTCTAATCCACTTCACAAGCGCCCTTTTCAACGTTCTCTTTACCTGAAAAATGGAGCCAAAATGTAAATTTCGATCGCTTTAAAATCTGATTATTCATCGACAAATCTCAATAATTGTCAGTTTGTTAAAATCTGTTCGACGTTTTTCTTCTTCAATTCGGCGTCGAATGTAAAAGCTTTGAAACAAAACAGTTATGGCGTTTGGCATTTCACGTTCTAGCGGTGATGAAGACGGCGACGGTGGTGGTGGCGACGGGCGAAAATGAGTATTAAAATAGCATGATTTTGATTCTATGCAGATCCTTAAACTTTGCACAAAGTTTGGGCTTTGTCCCAAACGAAAAAAAAAGTTGAAATATTCTTACACCACACGCTCACGATTGCTTTTTGAATGCCATTTTAATTGTCGAGAATAACGCACTCACAATATGAATTGCTCAAGATGCTTGGAATTGCTACTTCACATATATACATAAGAATGTATTCCAAAACTTTTTGATCAATTTAGACTTCGGCGCGTTGTGCATTCTGAGCGTCGACTGTATTTTTCGAAAAGTCACGAAGAAATATGAAAAAAGGCATGCAAATTCCGTTTCATTCACGTCTCTGGTGAAAACCGAAAAAAAAAGGCTCGGGTTCAAGATTAAAGTTATCCCTAAATCTGGTGAATACGTGAAAAGTCATATAGTATAGATTTTTGGGAGGCGGGCATCAGCCATTGGAAATAGAAAATGGAAAGAATACTCATAACGTTTTACATCAGACCAAAACATGACGATGAATTGTGCAGACATGCTCAGACGATTGTGCGATTGAGTTGAAACAAGGCGCGCTTTGTAAAAACTCTGCCCGAAGAAAAAAAAAGGCTAATATTATTCGATTTAATCGTCTGAAACTCCATTGGCTTACGAAATGTTTCGTGTGTTTGTTTTTATTCTCATTTTGCGCCACTCTTTTTCAAGAGTTTTGATTTAATTTTAATCCGAGTCGTTTGACTGCAATTTTTTTTCGGTTCTGATCTCGATTATGAGAGAAGTTAAATGTTGAAATCAGTTCAGTTGTTGGGATGTTTGAAATGATGAGGCCGGATTTTGTGATTTCCGAACCATCTCAACAGAATACTGATGATGCGATGACAAAACGCCCGTTTTATGTGTGCGCAGTGCGCGTTTTCACGCTTCACAAAACTACACTTTGGGCTAATCTATCATTCTGAAATATTCTAAATGACTTTGGCCATTTGGAATGACACATAACCAGAATGACATCAACATCGGGCGCTTTCGATCAGCTCCTACTGTGTCCTGATGCTTTAACTGCTAATGTAAAGATTAATTATCTTCACAAACTATTTATTAACTACGATTTATCTTACATCTTCCCCTGAAAAATTACGCGCAATGAATTGCTATTCTCACATTCTTCCTATTAATTCTGACTAGCTGTTACATACTCGAATCATGACAGCATTTGTATAAGAAGAAACAGGGAGAAAACCGAAATGACATGACGTAAAATGAATGCTAACAAAGTGGTGGAATGTGAGAGAGTCAAAGCGGTCACCTTTCAATATTATCGTATGTTATAAGATCTAATGTCGACGTGCGTGATAATAGAACGGAAACTTTGCCTTTGTCCGTGCCAAGAGAAAGAGAGAGAGAGAGAGAGAGAGAGAGAGAGAGAGAGAGCAAAACCAGTGAAGAGAAGCACGTCCGTAGGACGTGTGTGACTGAAGTCATATACTATTGATTGTTGGGCAATAATCGTTTATAAAGGAAATACTTGTGTCATTTTATGAGCCAGCAATAAGCCACAAATTGGCATCGTGAGGAGGCAAATAAAGGCATTGAAAATGCTTTATCTGAAAAGAAACTCATTAATCACTTAATTGTAATTAATACACAAGCACAAATCTCCATCTCTCTCATTTTCTTTTCGTGAATACCGAACGATGTTGTACTAGTGGATTGTCACTAGAAAACAAAACAAAACAAAACAACTCATTGACAATGTCGCTCATTTAAATGAGAAATAAAAATCATATCGCGTTTTTTTTTCATCAGCTTTGGTTCATGGTATTACTATGTTGGTAAACACAAATTTTTCTCTCTTTTTCCCATTTTCTCGTTCCTTTTCAATTGAATCATATTTGCGTCTGCACTCAACATAACCCAAATTTTGTGTTTATTCTCCAGATAAAACGCATGAATGCAGATCGACATCAAACAAATACTTTAAGCAGATGATACTTCAATCTCTACTTATTTTCATTCACTTAAGCAAAGAGTTATACATAGAGAGCGATCTAAAAGCGAGTACTGAAGAGTTTGTTTTCATTTCTGATAATTCACCGATGAGGATGATGATGGCATTGAGAGTTATACCCCACCAAAAAAAAAACATCAACAAAAACAACAAGGTAAACAGCACATATACAGAATAAGAGAAATACACAATGTCAATTTCGAATGACGTTTTTTTTTTTCGAGAGCAAAGAAACCGAAAAGGAGCGACAATTGCAAAGTCAATAAACCGTACAAATGCAAGAAAACGGAGATGAAGCATGGAGAAAGGGGAAAAAACGAGAAAGATCGAGAAAATTCATAATGGATTATGAATGTTGTACTTTGAAGAAAATTGGAAAGAAAGAGTCACGTTCAACATTAACAAATAAAGAATATTTTACTAAATGCAAATACCGAAGAGAAATCTATGTATAAATCTATAATACCTTTGCTGCTCCAGATTGCTTTTCGCTTGATAAAAGCTCGTTTCATTCGATTCGTTTTTCTATCTCTCGTTTCCACACATACTTTTTTTACGATTATTTCGGAAAATGATTTCAAACTTTTGCGTAGTATTCATTTTGCAATTGGGAGAAGCACAAAGTTAAATAAGGTTACCGACAGTTTACCAAACTAAATTGCATGTGTTCAACGCAAATGCACGGCAAAAGAAACGACAGAGAGTTTTCTTGTGTGTGTGTGTGCGTGCGAAAGAGCGGGAGAGATAACGCATATTTAGTTCGACAGTTTGTGAACGAATGAGAAATGTTTGCCAATATTTTCTTCTCATAAAGATTTGTTTTAAAAAATAACAGCCACACAATTCTCTGGTAAATGAAATGAGTGTGTCATTTGTGAGAGGGAGAGAGAGCGAAAGATACACGGTTATCAACTGTTTGCAACTTTTCCTTTTTCGCAATTAAAGTACGTTTCGCTTCATCTGTGTCCCCGCAGGTTCGAAATATGTATGTGATATACGTTTAGTCAAGAGAGATATGTATAAATGCACTTTCTCATTTGCCGTCGGCTAAACACACACACACACACACACACACGTATTCCACAGAAATCTTCATACTTCCGTTTGTCCTTCTCTCTATTTATCTTTATTATTATTATTCGAACGCGTGCTCGCGCCTCTATGCACATACATTTGGCAAATTTCAAGCATCTACCGTTAATATTTAATTCAAATTTCGAACGAAAAAACAAAACAGTTTTTTTTTTCATTCGGTTTTTATTCTCGTCGTACGAACGCATTGCTTTTGCCCGGCAGCTGTTCTTTGATCGATGATGATGAATTTAAGGAATAATACAAATAACCCCAAAAAATAAGTTATATTTAGAGTGTTTAGCGGAACTAAATGAAACAAAAACAGAAATTATTGATATAAGATCTTCATTCTTTGCGTAATATTATGTCGAGAAAACAATAAAAAAAAGGAAAAATACAGAATTATTTGATAAATGTCTACATTGGCATGGGCCACAAGCAAGCAGGTTTTTTTTGTATTGATATACGGAATCAAAATTGAGTGTCACACATCTCATCCAACAGAGAGGAAAATATTCATTTTTTTTAGATTTTAGCGTAAAAGGGATTTATAGATAAGTCAATTAAATGAAAACATGTTGTCAACACCGTAGGTAAATAAATATGAATCATTGAAACAAATGAGAGAATTAACAAATTCATATTCAAATCAAATATCAATAAAAACAAATAGCAGTTCGATTCTCTTGATGAATCGTTTTATCAGTCAAATTGTCATATCCAGCATTTTTTTGTTGTTACGTTGACATTTTTCCCCCTCTAATATATCTCTCTGTCTCCGTTTTGTTGACAAGAATTTTGGGCGATAAATTCAAGACATATTTTTCGACACATTTCAAATATATCAGAGGTTGTTAATATCATATCGTAATGATACCTCAAACATATTCCACAGAAGAAAAAAACTATGAAAAATAGAAAATAGATCGTTTACAAAAATATACACTTAGTTTCAAGTTGGAACCTTCAACAGAAAATGAAAATCTCAAACCAAAAATATATTTATAATAAATGTGTGTTGTTAGAAATAAAAAAAAATTATATTTAAAATTTAAAAATAAAACCAAAAACCACAAATTACAAAAAAAAAACCAAACGAGTCACAAAATGGCCTGTCTGATCTCTCATCATTATGCACGGGTTGAAAGTTAATGTATATAAATAAAATTGAAAATAAATGATGATATCCGGAGTCTATAATCACCTGACTATTGCAAGTAAAACAATTTGTAAATAAAAAGAGATTAAATTTTATGGAAATGCATTTAACAAAATTCCGAAAGGGAGTGCAATTATTATTTAAGATATAAACATGGTATTCAACAGTACGCGGTCAACATGTTCAAAAGCATAATAGCTTCATTGTGTCAGTATCCTTTGTTCCATTCCATTTCTCTCTCGCCCGTCTTCATTCTCTCTTTATACCGATCAACACGGCAATATGAATCTTCGCATGCGTTTTGTCTGAGCGATGCAACAGAGATTTATGTGCAGCGTTAAATAACAAAATGAACTAAATCATCCCTCATCTGTCTACTAATTATCAAAGATGTTTAGTTTATGCTAAGAGGTACTTTAAACTCGATTTTCATTGTTTAGCTCGTAGAAATGTTATGTTTTCACTTGTTTGGTCGACCGCATCGTGATAGATAAGTCGAGGCAAAGGTTATTTCGATAGAAAGAGTAGGACGATGAAGAAGGGTAGAGTGAACGATGGGGCGAAGTAGAGAGCATTTGAGTGAGAATGCAGAAGTAAGCGGTTTTGGCTTTTCAATTACGTCAACAATTATTGTGATTATGTTTTTTTTTTTTGAACATGTTGACTTCGGCAAATATTGACGATGCGAAGGATATTTAAGTACCGTTTAATATTAAATACTGTTTCACAATAAATGAATGAATTATATATTGCAAAATCGCGCGCGCTGTTCTCTTGATTGAACAAAAATGTTAGAAATAGATTCCAACGTACTTTGTGTCTATGTTGCCATCACGTCGTCACAAACAGCACACTATAATGACAGAAGAAAAATTATTTGAAAGAGAAAGAAAAAACACTGAACAACGTTGCAAGCAAGAGCCAATAATCGGATTATATCCCCTTTTTCGGTCACGTCTTCAGTCTGATTGGAATGACATTGAATGTATAGAGAAATAACAAAACAATTGCATCAACATGAAGAAGAGAAGAGAATAAAATTGCGCTAAATTAATTGTTGAACATATTTTCTAGCAACAGAAACAAAATATTGAACAAAAAAAAATTATATATTAGCTCCAGATGTGTCACGTGTCTCTCTCTATTGAGTAATTCATGTATTTAAAAAAAAAATTTGTATTGACATAAAAAAAAGAACAAACACAAAGACAGAAAAACAAAATTGCAGAAAAAAAATGTATTTTTGCAATGTTTTTTTTTTCTATTCGTAGATTGTACTGTGTTTCAATTGGTGTCTAACTTCCCAATAGAACATTGGTTAACATTGGTACATGGCGGATGAGCCAATTTCCTGATTCTCACTTTGAAGGCTATACATACATATGTACGAACGACTTGATTCGTTAAATCATATAAAGTCTTTCGATACGATAAAATTATGAACAAAAAATGGCTAACCAATTGACAACTGTCCCTAGCAAAATTGAATCTAGCTACATAAAGTTTTAGATACTACTTTTTATTCATGCGGTGAATAGAGGAAATGAAAAAAGAGAAAGAGAGAAAAACGAGAACCAGAGATCAACAATCAAGTTTGAATACATTTAAATCATAAATGACTCCATTCAGCCAAGGACTCGCATTTTAAGAGCCTTCGCACACATTTATACATATATACACATCAACTAGTAACATGAATTGTTTGTGCACAAGCACATCAAATAGTCTCTTCAGCAAATGAACACATTCCTGGCATGCATGCCTCATCCATCGACGACATCGACGTCGACGAAGATGATGATGAAGAGACGGACGACTACGACGAGCAACAATTTCACGACATCATGTTGTACAACTAAATTGCATTTTTGCTGTCAACTGTCATTATTTATATCCGTTCGCGTAATCTTCCTTCGATTAAACAATATTTTTCTTCTGTTGTTGTTGTTTTTCATTCAATTTCCAGCGTTGCCATTTTCCATGCACAACCGTTGTAATTTTTGCCACTTTTTTTTATCTTGTATTTGAGTGATACGGGATAAGTGTTTGATCTTTTATTGATTACAAAAGCGATTTATGTATGAAAGAACTGAATAAGAGATAAAAGCGGCGTTTGTTTGCTCGTCAGTTGAAATGTGCCATACACACATTCATTTTGATGTGCTTCCCATACTTAAGCCCACTCTCGTACTCATTCACTCATTTTCACCTTGATTTATTCGGTCGAGAAGGGTGGCAAAGTGCTCTCTATCTTCTTCAATACATGACAATACCCCAAGCACACGTGACTGCCCACCCGCCCGTGCAGTCCAAACTCCGTGCAAATGGATGTGAAGTCACTTGAATTAAATTCCATGCTTCAACAACTTATGAAAAGCACAGTTATTATGAAATTATAGATATATGTATATATCAACAAGACAACATGCGCAGCCTATCATCCGTATATAGCTCTATGTATATCTAGTTACAACATTTTTGAACTGAATGTTTACTCACTTAACCAAGATGCATATTATAAATATTGTGATCTACTTACTATATTCATTTGGTTCAAGTATCTCTATTAAACCTAATGTAACATTAAATTGCAAACATTGTCTGAGCAACATACATCTCGGTGTAGAGATTAAAATATGATATATTTCAGAGAAAGAGGAAAATTGACTTTTGAAACAATGCCAACCGAAAATGATTTATGGCCACAAGTTATTTCCTCACTGTGCGCCTCATTTCCGTTTCATTTTACAACAATTTCGAAATTTTTCTCTCTCTGGTTTTTGGTTGGCATTGCTTTCCCGCCGATTCAATTTACAATTGCTATCACATACTAAAGATGTCAATGATAAATTTTAGAGCCAATCAAACCTCTTTAATCTAGTCGTTAATTGAACTGTTTCTTACGTGTCAACGTTTACAAAAAAATAAAATAAAATAAAAACATAAATATTTATATTCGGGACTGGAGTAAATCTGTATACACAGTGAATATTCTGAATGTAAACGGCCACAGTCATACGAACAAAATCGACATTCACGCACCGCAAGCGAGCCAGAGTTAACGTTTTTGATTCATGCAAAGTTTCACTTTAACAAATAAATAAATATATATAGCGAATTAATCGCATCGTGGCTTACGGAGCGCACATAATGTCGACGGTGTTTATTGGTATGACTGTGTGATTTTGATTTTTGATTGCTAGTGAGACGATAGTAAGAATATACAAGCAAGTCAATGTGCGGTGCACATCATTGACAAATATCGTAATTGATTTGAATATATATATATGGATTCGGAGTGTGACCATGTTTTGTTCAGAGGCATTTAAACTTCTATTCAATTGCAGATAAGACAGATTATTAAATGTTACGATGTTAAAGAAAAATAAAGTTTAAAAAAAGTACATTCAAATCCAATCAATTTCAAATAAAGAAAATATGTGTTGTTATACAAAAAAAAAAAAAAATGTGTTACGGGTTTTCTTTATTTCACTTGGTTATGTTTCATTTCAGATGGCTTCAAAGGATACAGACGTGTTTCTGAATCAAAAACAAAAGTTTCGTAATAAGAGCATGCATGCTACTCAAATTCAATTCAGATCATTTGAAAATAGCAACTCAGAGCCGGAAAATTATGAATTTTTTTTTTGAATAAATTACTTTATTTCAATTTATCATTTGTGGTTGTTTTCAGCCATTTGCTGTGGCTATCATTGGATGTGTGCAGAGATTGCATATTTACTGCTGAGTAGGCCTGAGCTGAGCTGAATTTGCTAACTCAGGCGCCTGAAGCGGTATTTTAGCGTACTTACGGTGCAAAATTGTCGTAGCACGCTGGAATTTACCCAAATATAATTAGAAAAAAAAAATCAGTGGGATTTTCAGCGTGCCACGACAATTTTGCACCGTAAGTACGCTAAAATACCGCTTCAGGCGCCTGAGTTAGCAAATTCAGCTCAGCTCGGGCCCACTCAGCAGCAAATATGCAATCTCTGGATGTGTGTCATTTTTGCACTTTCCCATCGCACTTACCTTCCCGTTTACTATGTAATTTCACTACTTTTCACTTCTTTTAGCTGCTGCATTCTTGAGGGAAAAACTACAACACTTTTATCCTTCTAGCTTCTTATCTTCTAGCTATCCCTGTTTGATTCTTATTAATAAGAAATTTTTTGGTGTCTTTAATTATTCATGGAAACTCGTCATCCAATAAAAACTGTATCATCTAGTATAGTTAATAAAAATATATTCACCTTAATCCAACAGAAACGTCGAATCGTAATCGATGCAAAAAGGGATTTCGGAGTGTGTCCAATATCCATGCTTTATTCCGAGATGTTACCATCTCGATTAAATCGATGGGGAAAAATTTGTTGAGTTTTTCTTATTGATTTTGTTCCATTTCAGATAGCTTCAAAGGATACAGACGTGTTTCGGATGTAAAAATAAAAGTTTCGTACAAAGCATTCATGCGTGTGTTTCAAATTCAACTCAAACAAATTGAAAACAGCAACTCAACAGTTGAGTCTCAACTGTTTTGAAGAAGAAATTCAAAGAAAAATTACCTTATTTCACCCTGATCTACTCCATATTCATATTCATGCTGCTCATAGCCTCCAATAAATAGAAGAAGAGGAAAAAATGATCTATCTTTTAGGATGTCGTTCCTTTATTTCTTATTGGTTCTTGTTAATGTTAATAGTAATATTAATTGCTTTCTTCTATCCAATTAATATTAATGATTATAAAATAAATTACCATTTTTTTTTTTTGTTGAATGTTCGTTTTTTCTCTTTTGTTCGATTTTTTTCAATTTTTATTCGTTTTTAATTTTCATTTTGCGGCCAAGGAATTGTAGATTTTATTTTTGGTTTGCAGAAAATTTTATTTAAAGCATTAACAAATGGTGTTGTTGTTTGTTTGTCTGAATTTTGTTATATATGACAATTGCTGATTAGATTGAGTAAAGGATTGTTTGTTTGTTTGTTTTTCAGCATTGTTTTTCTTTTTATTTTGTGAAGTGATGAGAATAGTAGTTGTATTTTTTTTGTTAGAATTAATGCAAATTGATTTTTAATCGGATTATTCTCTCCTTCTCTCCTTCTGATCACTCCTTTCTCACAATTGTTCTCTTTTCTTTTGTTGACGTTTTCGAAAAACTCTCTTCATAAAATAACAAACAAAAAAATATGGATGTGTTTGTGTGTTTTTGTGTAACAAAATGTGAGCATAAGATTTTAACGCTTGCCGGGATGCACATTGTGTGATAGCATTTCTTCATTAGCAAGCTTTCCTCGGAAATCAGCCATTAAATTTCGACAGGTGGTCGCCAAATCGGCCAATTGGGCAAAGATCTCCTCGCCTCGTTTGCTGTAAGCTGTTGAAAGAAAGAAAATGAACGAATTTTTTTAGTCAGAATTTTTTTTTTGGGTTTCGAATATTTCTACAAAAAGTTTGGAGTTTTCTTTGGATTCTTTTAATGCCCTTTTTCCACTCAGTTCAAATGCTGTATATGGATTCAAATCGAATCATTTTCAACTCACCGTCTTGATCATAGTCTACACTATTTGTCATGTTGTACAGATCGATTGATTCTGGCACGAACTGTGCTAAAAATTCGTTGATTGCTTTGTGTTGATCAACAACGATTTCTTCGGCTTGCTGAATTTCCGAGATGGCTGCATGCTGATTGAGTAAATCGTCAGACATATCATGCTCCTGTGATGATGCAAACCAAAAATGAAGTCATTAGAATTGGTTTGGAATAATAAAATCAACGAATAAATGAAAAAATGCATCTCATTTCGTCTACTTACACTAAGCGATCTCAAATGTGCGTATTCATTTTCATTGGCGTCACCATTTTTATGGTTGTCATCAGATTCCATTTCTTCGACGCCATCGTTTCGCATTTCCGGGTCTTGAACGACCAGCTCTTTGACACGGTTTGCATATCGAAGTGTGTTCAATGTATGCTCGCATGAGTTCAATCCGGGCGATATCATGGCAATCATACACGTTTTGCTCTTCTCACCGATGAACGAATCTCGTAGAACCTGTGTCAATTTGCTTACGCGGAATGGCAAATGGGCATTTTGTTTTCCCAATGCTCGAATACATTCTTTCAGTGCTAGCAATGATTTATTGATTTCAGCACCTTCCATTCGCGTTTGTCGATTGGCCGACGATGTGTCGGCACCACGTTCATTTCCGGCTAAATCAATGAATGAGAACTTTCCATGCACGCGTGTTGAGCCCGGTGGCCGCAGTACAATTTGGAATACGGCATGCGATCGAGACGAATTTGCATTGGCTGATGTTTGACCTGAGGTGCGTGTCATATTACCATGCTGAATCAATTTCAATACTTCTTCTACACTGTCCACCACTTTTTCAGTTAAACCAACGACTTGCACTTGCTGCTTACCATCCTCAAGCACCCGCAATTTTTGCTTGTCACCCAACAAATCAAAGACCTACGCACACACACACACACCACAAAAAGAGAAAACAAATGATTGTTATTATTATTTTCAAAACCGCAGCATTTACATTGTACAACAGTGTGTGTCTCACCTTTCCACTGTAAATTTCAAAGAAACTGCACGAAATCATTAAGTTTAAATGACGATACTTCGGTCCATTTAGCAAACTAAACACATCTTTAGTTGCCATTGCGTAAATACCATTTTTACAGTCTTGAGTTTTGCCATTGAATTGGCCGCCCATCGTATGCGTTTTGCCCGAACCAGTTTGGCCGTATGCAAAGCACGTTGCCATGCCACCCTCGAAAATGGTTTTAACCAAAGGCTTTGCGGTATACTTGTAGACCAATTCATTAGTGCACGTATCATCGAATGCATAGTCAAATCGGAATTTGTGGTTTTCCAAATACTTGGTCAAATCGACCTTTGTTTTCGGCTCGTGAACAATTAATTGATCTTTGTTCGGCACCGATGTCACATCCAATTCCTTTTTCATCATTTCCTTTCGACTAATTGGACGCTTGCGCACACACACCGTTATCTGATGATCCTCAATGGCTTGACCATCGGTTAATGGCCGGAATTCGATTTGATTTTGGTATTCACTGCGAAATGGAAGCAAATGAACAAACGATTAATTAATGAAACACGATAACCATCATTCTACATATTAAATTTTGTTGTGTTTGGACGGCGGAAATGGTGTGTATAAATAAAAGGACAGAAATTTTGATGACATACCGTATCATGGCGGCTAGCTCCCAGTTCGGGTTGCCCGGATCCATGTTCATTAGTGCATTTTTCTGTTCCTTCATTTCCGCCTGTTGTGCTCGTCGTTTTTCACGATTCTCCTTCAATCGTTCCACTTCTTTGACCACATACGATCGTCGTCCTGTTGGATTGGTGGCAGTTGTTTGTATGACGGCCGGCGCTGGTGCCGGTGCTGGTTGAACCACTGACATTCGGCTGGTGTTTCGGATTGACGGCGTTTTCGTTGGTAGCTGTGACTGTGGCGGTATATTTTCAATGTGCTCACCTTGACCGTTCTGTTGATTGGTAGTCGCTCGAGCCGTTCGGTTACCTGTACAAAATGCACACAAAAGAAATCGACCCATGACTTTCTCGATCCAATGAAACAATGGAAACCCCATGCGATTTCACAAATTTTACGTCAATTTTTGCAACAACAACAACTGTGTCGAATATACAGAATTTTGTTCATTGAATTTCGTTTTTCTTTTCGGTAAACTTAGCAGACAACTAACAGTGATTATTCGTTGTCTCTTCTTCGGGGGAACACACTGCACCAAACAATATAAATATGTGTCGAATCAGAGAACCGTTACGGAAAACTGACAGCGATTGAGTGGAAAAGCATTCGATTTAACGATAAAGTTCAACGTGATATTGTTATATAGAGTATGTTGGTCCGGGTACATGTATGTATATGTATTTCAATGGTTTTTCAACTCAAAGGTTCAACGCACTACACGAACAATTTTCGGTTGGTTCCATTTGATACGGTAGTTTTTTTTCCATATGAATTATTATTGCCGCTTTTGGACGCAGGTGGTACACATTTATTTATTTATACGTTTCGTACACTTCTTGTTCGGTTGATAATAAATGTATTCATTTCTGGTTTCAATAAATACATTCGGTGTGAGTTTTTTCTTCTTCTTTTGATTGCTCAGCACACAATGGGAAAAACGAAACGGTAATTTTCCATATTTAAACAAAATTTCATTCTCTACGTTTCCATTAATCAATCAATGGATCAAACTACAGAGAGGAGAAAAGAAAACTAAAGTAGAAAATACTTCTTTTTTCTCACAAAATGCGTACACAATGTTGCTCGGTTCGGCAACGAATTTTATATAGTAACGCATATCGAGACATTTGATCAAAACAGAAATGATTGAAGTGTACACACAATTGTGTCGACCCCCACTTTGATTTTTTGACCGTAGAGCGTAGAGTGAGCAGTGCACGTAACGCGTTGCTGCTTCTGCTGTTGATGCCATGAACAGTGAACACATTGAAACAGAGAAGCCGACTTGTTCGTTTAATTGCAACGAACAACAAATAAACGAACAAACACACACACACACAAAAAATAGCATCAACTAAATGACCATACAAGGAACAGCGGTTCACACGCTTTGGAAACGCTCATTTTATATAAATTATAACGTTTGTTTGTCGGCTGCTACCTTACATTTAAAAAAAAACTCAACGGATCGCGAAACAACGAATGTTCAATTAGCGTGTGTATGTGTCACTTAATAACACATATTAAAATACATTTTATCGAATTCGATCTAACTGAATGCACTTGATAATGGCAATATACCAATTTCACCGGTGCGCATATACCGCGCGCGTTCGCACTATTCCAACTGGAATATGGATTCGATTGGATTGGTAACGGTTTAAGCGTTTCACGATTGATTTTTCCCGTGTATCATTTTTCAAACGATTACATGTGTAGTTTTCCGGTTAAGTTGCTTCACACACATATTGTGTGTACAAGTGGATACTGAGCTCTTTATTTTGTTTGTTATATATTTTGAATTTAATAAAAAAAAATCGAAAAACACTTGTATCCATTTCCATATAGGTAAAGCAAGATACACATCGACCAATCTATAAAAAACATTAGTTGTGCATTTTTAATGGATTTTTATTCACGGTCATGGGGGACATGTATGGCCACTCATTCAATTCGTGGCCCCAATGACCTCTGACGAGAGAGAGAGATATATATATATATATACGAACCGTTGGAAAAATTTCATTTCTATTTCATCATTCTGATTGATATCGACCGATTTGAAATGGACGCTAGTGAGACAGAGAGCGAGTGGGAAAATGAGAAATGTGTGCATGCATTAGCCATGTTGGGTATATATGTATATTCAACTTGACACTGTATCTCCGCCGACGGTGAATCATGTCGGGAAGCTAAAACATCCTTTTCGAGAGAAAAGACATACACGCACAGAGACAAAACAACAAAGATTACTCGTTTGTTCGTCTGCTTGTGGCGAATGCACGATTCGCCCAAATGTGGATAAAACATGCTCATACTCTCTTTTGGCGAGGGCATATTTTATTGTATGCCCGTGAATAAAAAAAAATCAAAACAAAATACAAATACCCGCATTAATTACTCTTTCTCTCTCCAAACACAAATAATTCTCGTACATTTGTTTTCTCAATGAATTGATTTATTGATTCGATACATCTGTTTGTAATGAATGTTCAAAGTCCGAAATGGATTGAAATCCAAGTCGTCGAAACAAAGCACAGCGCAAACAAATGGTTGCTTTTCAGTTGGACAGCAGCTATCACGCTTAAAACCGATATGTAATCGATAAACTAATTGCCGTAGCGCATGCAAATCACATACACCGAATTTTGTTATTGATTTTTTCCAGAAAAACAGATACTCCAATAAAATTCAAATCAGCTGATTGCAATGGTGTAACAAATTTGATTCAATCGAATACAATTTTCTTCTGATTTTCTCTCTTTTTAATTTACCAGAAAAAGAAAATCCCAAATGCTCTCGCTTTTTTCCGTAAATATGATTTAAACACGAAGGAGGAGATTCAATTTCATTCCAGGTAGGTTTGTTTTCTCTTTTTTTTTGTATACTAAAATCTAGTCTTTACTCACTTTTGCTTTTAAGTTGCTTTGGATCGATTTTCATTTTACGCGTTTGCAATTTTCAACGATTAAAGTCACAATCGCTATGGATAGCTTGTGCCGTTTTCAAATTATCGTGCTCTTTTTTTCTCTCTCTCTCTCTATCTTCTTTTGGTAAATGCACTTACCAAAAAATATTCACGCAAAAAAATTATTCACACACAAACAACGAAAAAAGTTTAAAAATTGATGTCCGTCCGTTCGGCATTCGAAACTCTATGATTCTGAGTGGCGTTTGTTTAGAACACAGAAGAAAAACGACAAACAAAACAGGAAAAAAATAACTTATTCCAAACAGTTTACTCCACTCTCGTTCGGGTTTGTGCGATGGGTTTGTGTTGACAACGGGACTAATTGTTGATATGAGGACACGCGGTGTGTGCACGTCTGGCTTGGCTTCGGGTTGAACAACGTTTGTGCATGTGGCGACTTTGCAGCCGCAATCAAGTGGAAAAAAAACGCGCTACCGTTTGAATCGAATCGAACGGAATACTACTCTTATTTTCTTCTTCGATTATTTTCCCTTCTATTTGCTGTGTTACGACACAACGTTCGTTCGTTAGCTCATTTTCATTTATTTTCCATGTGAAGAGAGAGGCTGATGTGTAATTTGTCTAATGAGTTTGTTGTTCAGATACGATCGACGACGCGATTCGATATATTTGAATGCAATGATGAATTCGGACGGCTGCAAATGCACACGATATCGACGAAAAAAAATGCCAAGTATGGGCTGGAAACGCGAATCCAGCCACCCGAATGAATCACATACACACTCGCACATTCACTCATACACAAACGACCCGAGCCAAGCGGAACGCTCGTGGCCGTGGTAACCAACATAGCGTAAACAAAAAAAAACCGTTTGTCCAATCATACAATGAAAATCAAAGTGTTGAATTAATACATTTTTCCCCATACACCATAAAATGTGTATTGTTTTTCTCGTCTTTTTCTTTTTCGTGCTTTGCTTCCATTTATCCATCGACCGACCTGTGATGTACTGAAGCAAATATTAATTGTTTCGATTCGTGCTGATGTTGTTGATCAAGCTGATGTTGTGTATACATAAATATTTTTTTTTTCCTCTCTAGTTAATAACAGCTATTTTGAATGCACAAGAGACGATACGTCTGCTGAAAATCGTGTGCACAATAGAAATGTTCACCGGATTTTTGGTCGCTTGGAATGTTTTTCATCGTTGGACAAAATATGTGTGACTCGTGGACGAATTAAATTTGAATGTGATAGACAAATGTAAGTGGTCATGTCGCGGAAAATCCAACACGAAATCAAAATGACGATTGACTATACGGTGTGTCAGCGATAAAAATCACTTAGAGAGAAATAGGGAAAAAAATACCCACGTTTATTCAAAGCTAAAACAAAGAAAACATCACTTAATTTCTGAGTGTTCTACATTTGGCATAATTACATAAATTTGCCATTGAAATTGCACTTGGCCACGTTTCTTTTCATCGTTTTATTGGTCAAGATCGATAGAATTTTTTGGCGTGAAGATATGAATTTGAGTTCAATGCTGCATTTTGTACAACTGATTACACTTCGTACCACCATTGTGTACGTTGTTTTCACAATGCCGGCAAATGGACTCAAGCATAACGTTCATTCGAACAAACGAATGAACGAATGAATGATTCAGTCGCTTTGCACTTCCACTTCCACTTTTCCTGCGGCGAAAGTGTTTTGTTCTTTCGACATTGTTTTTTTATCCTAATTTACGGCATTTGTACATATTTTTTTTCTCTCTTCAACGAAAATTCCTTTCGTTCAATCATTTACGACGAAAGCCATTAGGCATGAAATATTCCGTCATCGTGTTTGACCATTTTTACGGTGTAACTCTAATTTACGCCATAATTAAAATCATGAGCATAGCACCTAATTATTGTACCACCATTTGTGATATGGTTTCGTGTATGCTCCAAAAAAACAGAAAAACGTCGAAGGACTTGTTATTTACACCGATCTGCGGGAAGTATGTGTGTGGCTTATTTAAATGCTGCACAAGACTCCACCTTTAAGTTTTAACTATCAAATAAAGCGTCACCGAAGGAATTTTTCATGATTTATTCACAAAGTCCGCTAAAGCAATGTATTTTATGTTGTGTCGCGTTTATGTTGAATGCCGAACTGGGGAGACCGGAGTGTGCGGTGAATGCGTGTGTGTTTGTGTATTGAAAAATGAGGGTCTCAATTGACCCAAATAAAAGCAATTCGCCACTGACAAGATTGAAATATTTGATTTATGTAATCGAAATGAAAGTGAAATGAACAAACATGGCCAACATTGCTCAATGAATGGAATATAATCGAAGAACTTCCCCCCAAGCCATCGGTCGAACAGGATGCATGACAATTTTATACGTTGGCCAATGGTTTCGTTTCGGTAGTTCTACTAAGGTATGCGTGTTGCAAAGTTGACGTTAATAGCATTTTCGGCTGTTTGAAATGGGCCGACAAATTGTTTTGATCCAAATTGACTTACCGTTTGATGCATAACTCATAGAATGTTGATTTCCAGCTCTATTAAACCTAATATTTCCTTGTGTCGCATCCTGTAAAAACAAAACAGACCATTTTAGTTCTGAGCTACAAACGTTTCGTGTTGTTGTGTGTGTGTGTGTGTGTGTGCTCATGTTTGGTGAATACCACATGAATTTCTTATGAGAACGTGTATCATACAATTTGAGCAGCACAAAAGGATCGATTTGCATTACAGAAAAGAAACAATATTTTGGCTTCTGCTTGTGTGTATGTATAGTATCTGTCTGTGTATTCTACAAACTACCAAATAGACGAGCAACCGTAAATGGAATGCTCACTTGCGGAGAGAATAAATCTTGATGACTTGATTTGAATTTCACTTTAATTTGCATAACATTCAATCATATGAGAATTTCAAACCACTTATCAAGCTTATCTCTCGTGTAAATCCAAATAATATTATTCTGTACATTTTGATCTTTTGCATAAGAGACAGATTTCACTTCTATGGAGATTGGTGATTTTTTTTTTCGGGTGCAATTTGTGTGTGCTCGTATCATTCAAACTTCATATAAATTCAAATTTGATAATTTAATCTTAATGCTAATGGTAATGTTTGGCAACCAAAAAAATGACCAAATCATATGAAGCTAATCTACAACTAAAAACACCAAGGCAACATCAATAAAACCGTCTGTAAAACCAAATCAAAAGGGGAAAAAATATGTCACAAAAAAGAGGCAAAATTTGCTGTACAAAAAAAAGAGTCAGTGAAACGAATCTGGTGTCCACGATTCATAGCCGCAAAAAAAGAAGAAAAACGAAGAAGGCGAGAGCAAAAAAAAATCGAAAAGAAAAAAACAAAGTTAAAGAACTTAAGGCGATAAAAACAAACATGATAACTGGACGAACATTGATTACAGGCTTGCTTTTTTTAGATACCGATTTGGCGTTTCGAATGGATAAAGTGGCACCGCTGCCGTTATTCGATATGGTTGATTGACCGGGCGTTTTCTCGGTGGACATAACCATTGCGGCTGGAAGTTGACCGTCTTCATCATAATAGCTATCTTCTTCATCTTCGTCCTCGTCATCGTCACACGCTTCATCCGATGAGTTTGACGCTTGATCCTTTTACATTTTGGAGGATGGCGTTGTGTTTAAGGGATTTACGCGCAAATTTATTATTTATTGTTTTTTTTCTCAAGAAATTACTAACGAAAAAAAAAATGCCTACTTAAATGCTTAAATGCCCTATGTCACGCTCAATTATTCGATTTGCAATGAAATGATAATGGTGTCAAAATGCTAGCGAGAAAAAAATGGCCAAGTGTTTCTTATTTGCTTGTTGGTTTCCTTCTGTTGCTTGTTTGAAAAGCCGGGCGTCAAATGAAAAAATCAAATTACGAATGTGACCTGATAATTCCGTTCACACCCGTACGAAAGCAGCGATATAAAAAAAACAACGTTTACACTTGACCGTTGCTGCTCACTTACCGAATCGAAGTGGAAATAAATTTGAAACATCTGTTTCATCCACCGTATTATGTTGACTGGAATTTCTTTCTTTTTTATCTCTGTTTCGTAATAAACAGAGCAATCACTCTCCCATTGAAGAAATACAACTGACGTTAGTTACAACGAAAAAATAAGTCGGCACACTTGAAGCAATGGCACTCGAAATATTTATTTCCGACACAATGTAAAAATACGTTCTGAAAAATTGTTTGCAATGTGAAATTGATCCTAGCAACATATCAACAGTGTGACGTTAGCTACGTCGAACGGGGCACTATGGAAACTGAACGGAATTTGTGTCACGACAAGAAAATTGCACTTGTATTATGTACGATAAAACGCAATCAAATACACTTTTACATGAAATATATAAAAAAAAATTATGGCGCTGCAGAAAATCAATGAACTAATTAGTGATTGTGGGGCAGAGCAGAGAAGAAAATGAACGGAAAATTTTTCAGGCTTGCAACAAGCATTAGCTTTCTACTATTCTGGCGAATCGATGTATTGAAAATCCGGACAAAAGTAAAACCGAAATTAATCGAATGATGGACAGAGCGAAAGAAGAATAAACAAACAATCAAGATTACTTACTCTCGTCAAGGCATTCGATGATGTTTGTTTGATAATTTTCGGCATTGATGCGGCCAATTCCTCCTGTTGAGCTAATTCGGCGTTCAGCTGAAGGATCGTATCCAATTCAATTTCTTTTCCTTTTGTTTCGTTGCGCTCGTACCATTCTACCGTAACGGAACGGGCGTCATAGTTTATTTTCGATACCATAGCCGAATGTATCCGACCTACAGAGAAATAAGGGAAGAAAAAAAAGTCGAATGAAAGCAAAAAGTACACAAAAGATTTTCAGATGATCTTAGAATAATGGATGTGTCCAAATTCTAGGAAATTGTGCAAAAGGACATAGAGGTAGGCGTGTGGGGTAAAGAAAAACAAAAGGAAAATTCCTTATCGATTGTGATTCAGATGTGCACATGTTTGGATTACACATTTTTATTCAGCTTCCCTTTCATTTCTCTATCTTCGTCTCTATGCTAAGAGAGAGAGAGAGAGCTCTCTTTGTGTTTCTTACAAAACTCACTTTCACTATCACAGTTTGCGTCATCGGCGGCACCATCTCTCGACGTCGATTTATCATTGGCGTGATTTTGCCGGTTGTCGAGTGATGATGTGCACACAGTTTGATTTGTGGTAGCAGCAGCGGTGGCCGTACATTGTGAATCAACGACGTTGTTATCAGTGTTGTTGATTTTCTCTTCTTTTATGCACCGTAGCGCACAATTGTTTTGACTTATTAAAACTTGGTCACGCCACTTCGCGTAATCATGGTATGCATTCATATCACTTTTGTTACGGACACGTTGTTGTTGTTGTTGTTGCTGCTGCTGCTGTTGTGCTTTCAAGTCGTTGCGAATTTTCTGAATGGGCGATTTTATATTGTTTGTAATGCGTTTATTGTTACTGTCGCACAATTTTCTGTCGCTGGTTTCTTTGATTTGGAATTTCGTTTGATTTTTACCAACGACCACGATGTGACTGATTAAATCTCTTCTTAACACTTGAAAGCGTTTCTTAAGCCACGACGGCATTTTGACGACTGTCTCTTTAATTGAATTGAGCCACACAAGAAATAAATACCACACAAAAAATAAGGCTGCTCCCTTTCTTTCGGAAAATTCAACGCACCACCGACATTTCAACAACGACAACAACAAATCACAAGCCAAATATTTTCTTTTTTCTAAAACAGACACGCCGACTCGATAAACAAATGCTCACTATGTTTGATCAATAATATTACAAATTAGTTGTTTGCTGCTTCTTTTTTTTACTTCGTTTGATCACTTTTCTTTTAAACCATTTCCTCGGTTCATTCGGTTAACGGCGCATGCAACTTTTTTCTGATGCTTCAGCAAACGATGTCTGAATTGAACTGTATCTCAATTATTTAATGTGTAGTTCAAAAATTGATATTTCCGATTGAGAGTGTTTTTCATCCTATCTTTTTGGTTCCGTGTATGTTTTCATAATCGAAATGTCTGCGCCAAATCACTGCGCCGCGTGCGTTCGCGTCTGATAACACCATCAAGGTTATCATAATAATGAAATAGCGAATAAAAATTACGAGACACATCAATGATGAAGAAAATCAATGGAATAGCGCCATTGCTAGAATTATGATGATAAATATACATAATTGCGATATCGTCATTTTTTTTCCTATTTTAAAACAACCCGAACGTTTTGGGTGGCAATATTGAAATAAATGACGACAAGAAAAGCACTTGGCTATCTTGAGTTCAGTCAAATTGGTCGTGATTTTCTATATTTGGAGTGTTTCGTCTAAAAATTAATTCACCTTGAAAGCTCACACTTCCGCGATAACCGCATTTTTATTTGTGTGTGTCTTTTTTTATTTTAGCCACGAAACTATCACTGACCAATGCACGTTTGCATTGTGAAAGCTTCCTTACTTCTGCTTTGAATTTGTATCAATCGTATTTGGTTGCAACAAAAAAAAAAACGTTTTTTTCTTTCGTCGAATAGATGAGCAACAAATGCATTGACCGATTTGAGTAACAAACGAAATGAAATTGAATGCGCATCGGTCTTTTATTTATTCTAACCTGAATGCGTCATTATGATAGGCTCTGCCTATTCCAATTCATTACATTACAAAATAAAAGCCATTTAAAGATAATTTCGATTGATTGGCTTGTACAAACAGAAATCGTACGATGCGGTTCCGGATCAAATGAGCCAGTCGTTACTTAATGTGTGTTGGGATAGGATTTTTGCCCGATACGAAACAATGTATATGACGAACAGATTGATAGCACGAAATTCATACATGTCGAGCCCACCAATTGTGTTATTTCTATTATTTCTATAGAAGGTTCTTTTTTTCTACACATATACATTACGTGATACTGTTATCATCATGAAAAGTTGTCTAGACGTGGTATAATCGATATTTGATTGAGGGCGAGGGAGAGTGAGCTAGGAAAAAAAGATTGAATCTGGCAAAAACTACTCAGTCAGTGAAAAGATGGTACTAATCATGTTAATGCGAAATTGCGTGTTTGTATACATATCATTAGGTTGATTAATAAATTGAATCATTTACGAAAATCGAATTAGCTTTGACACTTGCAGAAAATAAGTCGGCACTGTTTACTAAACAGATCTGGGTAATCAGTAAACATCTGAGCGCGCAAAATGGAAGCTAAAACAAACCAACGACTGAACGAGCCAATCGAACCACCCGAGTCAAAAGAATAAAACGAGATAGAGAGAGAGAGAGAGACTCTGACTCCAGTCACTAATTGGCTAATTGTGCCAGAAAATTTTATTAATTAACACATACGAATGATTTGTGTTCAATTACCGATGCCATCGTATAAATTAATTTACAATGAAATGGGTCGCTTCGTCTCAGCACTTTGGCCCGCTTCTTTCGTTCGATCTAAATTGAATCATTTTTCAGGCGAGCAATTTGCCCGAAGAGCATCGTTTCAAATTAATTTAAATTGTGTATATTATCTGTTATTTGTTATTAAGGCTTTTAGCCGAAAATTTCCGAGTCGCAAGTCGCTGTACGCAACGCTCCGTACTTAAACGTTTATAATATACGCCTGCACGTATATTTCTCCAATATTTCTTTATTTCTCTGCTTTCGTTGGAGCGCCTTGCTTTTCGGTGTTTGTTTTGTTCGCGCTTCGATTCTGGTGATCAGCCACATCGATACAGTGTGTGTGTGTGCGCCAAACACAAAGTAGTGGTAATGATTTGCCATTGCCAATTGGTTTGAATGAGCGACTACGACATTCATTTTTGGTACCACATAAGTCGGTGTGTTTTCATTTCAGGCCACATGTTTGTGTATATATACATTTTACACTGGAAACGAGAGAACGAGACATAAACGCCAAATTGACACAGACGACGACGACGACGAGAATGAAGCTCGCCGAAACTGGTTACATAAAAGAATGCTGTGACTTGTTTATTTGCCCGTGTATTTCTTTGGCTATATATGAGCACAAGAAAAATTGGCCCGGTGAGTCATCGATCTGAGTGCGCGCTCGCTCGTACACCACAACGGGTTTCAGATGCGAATGAACGAAAATAAATGATTAATTCACAAGTGCGATACAAGAAGGAATAAGAAATAACATGTCACAACACAACTATGTAGAACCTGACCGTCAATCAGATATCCCAGAACGTTTTAAAAATAGCATGAAACACTTGCAGACCCCAAAATGGTTAATTTGTACCGAATCTCATTTCATTCGTCGTCGTCGTTGTCATCGTCGTTGTTGTTGTTGTTGTTGCTGCCAAGCACTCATGCATAAATCAAGCAGCTCATTTTTCCTATGTAGGCTGACTTTTTTTTCAAGTGCGCGCTCAAACAAAAGGAGCGAGGCAAGAGTGAAAAAAAAGCGGAATCAAGGAATTAATTAATTGATTTTTAAATACTCCTCTCACATTTTCATTGCGGAACAGGATAATTGATTAGCATCAAACGTGCACACAACTCTCGAAATAGAAATGATCAAGTGTGCCATAGTTGGATTCAACACGATGCTGCTACAATCGATAGTCACGAGTCGTCGTCGTCGCTCGTTCATTTATCTCTCATTTCCAATACGGGCACAAAATGTGTCATCAAATTTATCGCATGACATTTTCAAGCGTGTGCTGGATTATATGATGACGCGCGATTGCATTCACCTGTTCTTATATCAATATTTCCATTTCTGATTATATTTATCAAATCCCGTTGAATTTAATCGCATTTTTAAAGCACAAACAGCACCATCATCACCACGCTTTGATTCAAAACTTAAATTGATAATCACCGATTGCTGATTAGAACGGAGGAAATCAGGATTTGTAGCGGCTTTATCTCTATTGTTCTGGTGGTATTACAATGAGTGAACTTGATCGGGAATTGATTTGAATCTCTTGGAAATTTCTAATTTTCATCAGCTCAGATTTGCTATGTATACATTGTATTTTGCAGAGGTTTTATCCCTCTCTTTCTCTTTCTCTTGCTCTGTTTTGATTTTTGCTTCGTTTTTAGTTTCTCTTTTCATACTTTTTATGTTCTATTCTTTGATTCCACCAATTCTTCATCTTCTTTGAATGCCGACATAGAGAAAACTTGTTTTTTTTTCTCAATGTCAATTGATTTCCTATCAATTTGTTCCTCTTTGATTTTATTTATGAGTCGAACATGATTAATTGACTCCAAATGAGGTCTCCATTCATTGATTGTGTGCTTAATATGTGTGATGCAAATAGAAACATATTGCCGAAAATTGCACATGGACATCAATTAAATATCATTTAATCGAGAGATGATTGGAATTTAATGAATTGAAATATTTCGGTATTGTTGAAAATTCGAATGAAATCATTTGTTCAATCACATGAAACTTATGGTTGTACGGGAAGAGAGAAACATATAATTTGGTTAAAAACAGGCGTTTCTCACAAACATTTCAGCATCAAAAGCACACGAACGATGTGTAGTTAGAGAAGAGATTCATGTTTATTATGTTTCAGCACAAGGTAAAATGATGATAGTTCAAGCCCTTGATTGTTGTTGTTTACCCGAGAATCCAGTTTCGTTCTCTCTCTCTCCTCTCTCTGAATTTATGGAGAAATGTCTTTTTGAAACTGTGAACGCACAATAACCCATTTTACAATTCACCGAAATTATCCATAGCTGGAAAATAGCAACTCTCTCAGGCATTTTCGTTACCGTGCATGTTGCATGTAATCATTAGTGTTGGCATGAATATTTGACCAGATTCTAGATAGAATTATGGTTTGTGGACAAGAGACAATGCTTGCGATGCTCTGTTATGATGGCCCAGCGTGGCTTGTATGCGTGATTGTTGCTTTTGCCAACAAAGCAATATCAAACATCAAACGACGACTCCGACGACTCCGACGATGATGACGACACACATACACAAAGCGACTGCACAAAAACAATGGTTCAACGAACAAATTTCTTTGCTCTTGTATTTGATTACATAGTGTGTTACGCTTAATTAACTGCCACATAGTTAGTTTCATTTTGTCAGACTGAAAATCTCTATTTGTTGTTTGCCGTAGTTGTTGTCGTTGTTGCCTTGTTTCTACATGGCGATGTGTGTACAAAACGCACGTATAACGGCGTTCCGTTTTAATGACAGCAACAAGCTTGTCTTAAACTCCATGGCTCGCGCTTTTTTTTCATCGCTCATTTTGCTTCATAATAAAATATGGTCCTTTTATCAGTGTATATATATCTATTGCTCCTACTATTCTCATTCTCGTATTTCAAAAACTGTTGTTTCTCTCTGAACCGTTGCGTTTGTTGTGGCACTTTTATTGATTTATATTCTCGCTTTGGACTTTCTGCCATCTCACTCTCATTCGCCGTTGGTTCGACCGTCGAGCTCTCTCAGCTGTTTGCAGTGGTTCGAAATCAAACGAAACTCATAGATCAAATGCACACAAGCGCACACCTAAGCGCTCGATGAGCACTGTGTTGTGTGTATGCACTGCACTTTGCTGCTTGTTCAATTATTTGTATGCATAAATTAAATAAATTGCATCTGCCATTCAATAACACAATTTCGCACGGCGAATAGGGAGCGCGTTCAAGTGTTTTATATTTGATTAAAATTGAAAAAAAAATAAACCGACGAAATTGGTTCATGGGATCGGGAACATTTCCAATTTTAATGACCGAAACAACAAGAACAATCAGAGACAAAAACAAAACTGAATCGAAAGAACTCGACATTTGTTTGGCCATTTATTCCCCATTGGAGTGCTGAATGAGAATGATCGAGAATAGAATCAAAATGTAAATTGTAGAGAGACTCACGTGTAATCATAATAATTAACGAATCGCTGTTTCGAATCGAACGCATTTGATGGGTAATGCGCTCAAAATGCGCATTCAATGCAATTGATTTTAAAATGGAAATGGAAACGCAAACGTGTATGTTAAGGTCAAGGTCATGCTGTGTATGTGCACCGATGAAGATGCGAGTGGAAAAGAGAGAGGGAGAATGCGAAATTAAATATGGTTTCGTCGATGTCATTCATGAGTGCCAGTCAAAAGAGTTGCTGTTTCTGGTGCTGATGTTGTCGTCGTCATGGTCGGATCTCTTGTTTTGTTATTGTACTACACATTGTGCGAATGGAAAATGTATGGGCTTCGTTTATATTCGATGACATCGAATTTAATTTTAGCATCAAACGGAAAACCATCGTTCTTTTTCTCTCCACCAACATCGATCCAATGCTTTAGTTTGAAACTCATCCAATTTTTCTGCTCTACGATTATACGATTTTTATTGGTAATTTTTGGTTTTGCAATTCAAGGCATCGCCGCGGATACTATGTAATTCAATAGTCAGAGCTATAACTAAATAAAGTGAAATGCAACAGAACTAAATCGTTCAAAACCCGAAACGGAATGAAATGAAAATTGAATATGTCTCAGCACCGTTTAAAATATGAATATCCAATTGCATATCGAAGTAGCATGAAAATGACGGCAATGAAGAAGTGGATTGAATGAAGAAGAAGAAGAAGAAGAAAAAAAGCAGCAACACATAAACGCGTCACGTTGAACAGGAGAGCATTTTGTGTATGGGCGTCTTAAGACCATTTATGGCAATGAATCGATTGCACGAGTTGCTGTTTTTTTTCTCTTCTCATTCATTCTTCTCTTGCTCTCCTAAAGTGTGACAGGCAATGTTTCGCTGGTGCTGGCTCATTTTGTTATTCAGTGCTCGAGCTTCTCTATCACTCACGGCACAGCTCATTCGAATTCAAAGCCACGACACAGGAAAAAATGCAATAAAAAAAAAGTTGCCAGCTGGAAATGTTCCATACGAATGTCGAGTATGATGAATGTGCACTAACTTCGTTGTACGGCGGACAGAAAAAAAAATCTCTATGGATAGAAGCGACAGGAAGAGGCGCACGCATACTAACAAATTGTAAAAAAAGAGCTGTTTATTACGCGTTGCTCAACTTGACTAAGTTACTACTCCGTTCTCTCTCGACTATTCTCGATGCTCAGTTTGAAATTCCATGCGCTCGTTATTCTCATTCTTTTTTCACACTTATGCATCACTCTCGGTCTGATCTCACCGAGGTCACTTCAATTGATATGAAAAATTACAATTTCCACCATAAAAACACATTGTTTTTTTTCCTCGTGTGTTTGGTTGCCAATTCATTTCGTTCTTAATTGACTAAAAGGCAATAAACCGCAATTTTTTCTTCTCCTAATCTCAAAGTCATCGGTGGCTAATGTCATTCAAAGTGCCAGCCCGTGCTGGGTGATCAAATGTCGGACAAACAATGTTAAATTGGTCAATTTGAATGTTGATTCGGATGGTTTAATAGATGATATTTCGTTTATTAACGATTTTTAATAGCCAATACTATTGACTCAATAGATTTGAAATTTTGTTTTTTCGAATAATGCGTCTCGCTCCAAAAACCATTTGAGCCAAAGCCAAAAATCATACTCTCCATGGCTAACATAACGTTCGGGTCACTTATTCGTCTTGTGTGATTGTTGATCGCATTATGCGATCTCATGTGTTTATTGAATACTTGTGCTAATGCCATGACGCATATATACGTGGACATAAGTGTGAATAATGAATAATCGTTCGATAGCGAACGAAAAGAAACGTTGAACGCTGTTCGATGTCGTTCATCCTTCAACGGTTCTATAAGTAATATTTCTGCGTATTTCCTATATATTAAGAATCCACATAGAACTCTCTTGTTATAGACTCACATTCTCGATTTTGTTTTCAATTCACATTCTCATTCTCATTTCCGCCATCGTCAAGAAAATTGTCAATTGTTCTTTCTCTTGAAGCAATTTTTGGTGACTGTGTATTCATGTGGGAATGCCGTTGTGCGGCACCAACGAAAATTCCCCAGCCATGGAAACGTTATGAAACAGATACTAAATGAAATAATGGCTTTTCTGAGATATGAAATAAAAGCGCACTTTCGAAGAATTATTATCGTTATGATTTGTGTTATAATGAAATTTAAAAAAAAATGAGAAAAAGAAAATACCAGTTTATGTACGGCGATAGTTGGTTGCTGTCGAGTGATACATTGAATCCATGAAGTACACACACACACACACACACACACACACACACACACACGCACACATAAAACATTATGGCCGATGGCTGAAATGCATGTCGGTGCGCGGTGTGACTGTGGATTAATTATATTCCATTTTCCATTCAAACAACCGACATTCACTCGAGCAAATGCTCATATCACTGTGTGAATTTTTCAGCTACTGTCTTAAGTCACTCGATGCAATGGTGTAACAATTACCGGGGAAAAAATTAAAAAAAAAAACTCTCTCAAAAACCGTAATTAAATGGGATCGCAATAGAGTGATGTAAAGACGAGAAGAAGAAGAAGAAAAAACTCGTGTAAGTATCTAATGTTGTTATGTGGAAGTGTGCGATCATTTCATGTCGTGCATTAGTGCCATTAGCAATTGAATGAAAAATCCAATTCAAAAAGGTACAAAACGTAATATTTTGTACACGATGGTGTGAGTGTGAGAGAGAAAAAGTGCACATTGGCACGAGCATGATATGCACAGGCCGAGAATATGAATCTCAGCTCACTTGGACGCCAGCTACGCAAACCGACACATTCAATTCTCAATTGATGATTTTTAATCAAGTTTGGCCATGTCGTGTTTTTTTTCCTCGTCAAACGAATTTGAAACCAAACGATCAACCTACACAAAAAAGCGATAAATAGTAAACGACATAATGGAATAGTTTTTTTTTTCGTTCGTTCGTTCGAATGATTTGAATCGAAAAAGAGAAATACGAATGCGATCCAGATCCAATGACAAAGAGCGAAAAAGAGACGAAAATCTACGTTTCAAGTATTTACACTTGAGTTTGTTGTTTGTTTGTTTTTTTTTTCATTTTCAGTGGTTGTTATGAATATGCTTGGTTTGTTTGTGTTACGAATAAAACGCGCGAGCCGTTTGCTTTATCGGTTGTCAAGTAATTTTGTATTCAAATTTCATGGCTTGAGCATTTTTCGATCGACTACTATAGCGCTTTTTGGCGCAACGTAAATCAGTGCTGCCGTGCTTGCCGTGCTTGCCGTGAATGACGTTAAGATGAATTTTTTTCTAGTGGCAAACTTGGTCGACAATGTAAGGCGAACAACGATTGGAATATGGGTCAAATGCAACAATTTTTTTTCTGCAGCGCTTGATTGTCTTGGATTCGCCATGATTTGCTTTTGTTCAGCGCGATGAAAAGAATAAAGCAATTTATGAGCCATAATGTTTGAATTAGCGGTGAACTGTATTACGGTTTAATATCAGAATGGAGTAAAAAAAAAGTAAACTACAATGTAACGTCTCTTTGCAAATATTGACTGGTATTGTGTGCCTTCAAACGATCAATCTGTGTGTATATGGCCAATTTGATTGACAGGATGAACATACAAAATAAGTCACACTTAAAATGAAACCCATCGTCCAGCGCTAGAGCAATAGCTAGCAATTTTGCTGTCAAATAATCCAAGTAGTGCACCGCACACCCGAACCGTACGCCTATATAAAACGGAGCACACAAAAATCGATATTGGACTTTTCTTATGTGCATTTCAAACCAAATTGAGTCGACGCTTCTCAACGAATTTGGTGCACGAAGTCGATGATATTGTTTTTGTTTTATTTGGATTACCATGAGAAAAAGAGAGCGAATGGAAAAGGTGAGAAAGTACGTGGTGGTAAAATAATACCTACGAACACATCCACAGACCAGAAACAAAAAATTCAATCGTTGATGACCTAGAATATGCCATAGAGTCAGCCTATGGCCAAATAAAAAACATTAAAATACCATTCGCGCGCTATTTTTTATTTCTCTTCTCTCGCGTTCATTTAAAATCAGACCGAAGACGGAAAAAAAAACATCGACGCATGTTTTCTTTAACCATGTACTGACACAGCCATTAATTTCCATTGGTATGTAAAATAGTTTAGTAACACGAGCAAACCACAACAACAAAACTTTTAACGAACAACCAAAATACTTTGCGGGAACAACCAATAACAGTGCCCACTATCTCGTTCTGTTTGGTGGCTACCGAGACGAACGAAATAAAAACATATCTAAATAAATAAAAAATTGTTTTGCTTCATCTCTGATTCCATTGAACTGAGCAAGCAAACAAACAGACTCGAAACGATTTCGAGCGTTTTTTAGGTTTTTTTGACGTAAAAAAGAAAAGCATTGGACACACTCGTCCGAACTGTGAACTAAATTCGGAAGAAGAAAAAAATGACATTTTCGTGGTTGTTTACTCATTTGTCTTGTGCTTGTCAAATTTTTCAATCTCAGCACATTCCCTGTCGCACTACTGACGTATGAAATGTACGGATCGATAAATTCGATCGGAATTTTGACGACCAAAAATGTGGGCTCACGAAATAAAAACTGATTATATTTCACAATGTTCAATTGGTTGTTGAATTACCCAGTCTAAACAATGCCGCTTGACGAACTGCTGGAAAAAGTGCAAGTTTCACGCTCGTTATAACAATACACATTTGACAATGTACGTCGTTATCGCTGTCGTAGTCGTTGCCGCCGCCGGGCCATCAATACTTGCAAATCGTTTGGTGTAATTTGACGAAGTAACAAACAACTGAATGTGCCATTGCGGCTCACAAATGAACGAACGAAAAATGGGGAGCTGAACAACGTTGAAACGTAATTTCTCAATTGTTCCCTCGCAGTCTCTGTGCTTGCTTGCTCATTGTTTTCGATAATCATTAGATAGTATTCGCAGTGAGTTGCTATGTACCAAATTCGTGTCTGCATGCATTCGTTTCGTCTCTCGTTTGGCCTGTGTGCTCAACTTGAGATAATTACAATTTAATACCTTCATTTTTATAATCCCATTTACAATCAATTGTTTGCCTAAACATCACATTGTCATACAATGGCAAATCATTGGTGAATTCATGCCAAATTCGAAGCAATGAATCTCTCTTGAGTTGAAGAAATGATTAGAAAATCTGCTATATAATGATTTTTGGCCAATTTTTTTCTCCTCCTCTCTCTCTCTCTCTCTCTCTCTCTCTCTCTCTCTCTCTGCCGCTCATTCCGTGATCAATTTATTCGCTTAACATCTGAGCCATAGCCATTGTTTCTGTGTATTGGCAATACGCTCTTTTTCATTCGCTTCACTCAATAAAAAAAGATAAAAATGATTCATTTCCATTCGGTTTAATTGTTGGTTGTGTTAGTTCGCTGTTTCTGTCGCACTCGTTGGCAGAGGTATTGGCGAAAAAAACGGCATAAACACAGCGAATCGCTGGAAAGATTGAAAGTTACCCGAATCCCACGCAATTCGGAATCGAATCGAAGAGCAACGCGCGAGAGAGATGAGAAAAAAACAACGAAAAATTTATTCCATACAGAAATCGTTATTGTGCAAGGGCCGTGTGCGCGTCACACAAATACGCGTCTAACTTATTTCCTATGTTTGGCCGTCTCTTTTCTTTGCCATGGCAATACGGCACGCCAGAATGAAATGCAACCAAATAATAACAAATGCGGATAAATATCATTTTGTATTTATCACGCGTTTCTCTTTGTTATTATTGCCAAATAGTCGAATTGGTTATGTGCCTATGTCTGTGTCGGTATCGGTGTGTGTGTGACTGAACAAAAGGCTGTGAACGGGCACCGTTTTTTTTCGATACACGATTTGGTGTTGTCGCCGTAGCAATAATTTCAAACAAAATATGAGCTCTCCGCACCAAACAAACTGTACCAAAATGCACACAATATTCAGACACACACAGGCCGCTCCGTTGAAAACCGAATTAGAGAACAAACCAAGCTGACGACACACACGGCCAATAATGCGACTCAACCTATTTGTCAACTCACCAAACTGTCCAACATTCTATTAAACACAAAGGAAATTATGTGTTGTGCTTTTTTTCTGTTTCATTGAAATGATTCGAAAGTGCGGTGCACAATAGATAGGCACATACATTGAACGAGAGAGAGAGAGAGAAAAAAACTAAATTGAATCAAAACCGTGGTCGGCGCATCGATGGGACTTTTTTTCGTTCGAAATGGGCCGAATCCAATTGGAATAGCTTGCCATTTTGCCGAAGGAATATTCGCTTTTTTTGCCTTTCGGTTGTCAGCATCCACAACATGGGGAAATGCACTGAAATTTTCACACTATTGCATAGAACAAACACAAATGGATGGTGATATGGATAGAAAGAGAGAAATGCATTGTACTACTTACCATCGGTTCTTTTTATGTTGACGCTGGCTCCAATTTTAATAAGACCGTCCATTTTGATGCTGAATTAAAAAGAGAGATTTCTCTTGAATTGTTGTGTTTTTTTGTTTGGCGTTGCGTGGCGTTGCTCTTCAAACAGCTCTTTGTTGATATGATTGTAAATCAAATTCGGCAGCAGCAGCAATCGAATCGGCTGTACTTCTCATGCATTTAATTCTAAATCGCAACTTATAGCTAACTGTTTCGACATATGTCCACCAAATCTTTTTTTTTTCTCTCTCTCTCTTTTGTTCGTTTCGTTTAAAGGCAATTTCACGATTTATTCTTTTGTTTGATTACATTGAAATATTTAAAATTTATTCTTTTTTTTCGATTTTTAATTCATTTGTTGATGATCGACAAATTCACAATGATGACGATGACGACAACAACAATACACACTTTGAAAGAAAAAAAAAACACACTGTAAGAAAGAAATGAAATTAGTCGACAAATTCTCGGCTCAGAACGGAACGAAACAAAAATTTTGATGTATAATACAATGAATTTGCGGAACACGATGACATAAAACACATAAAATCGACAATGAATCTAGTTGCAACGAGCAAATGAACTAAAATTCTTTCAAACTAAAATCAAACTCAATTGTTCAAACACATTTAATCGGTCGGTAAACTGCAATTGATTCAATCGGGAAACGATGGTTCAAACAGAATTTTTTTTTTCTCTTCTGTGTTCGTATCGGTGAATTAAGATGTTTCCTCTTTCTATCTCGCAACTGTTTTCAATTGAAACACAATGAGCTGCTTGCTTTTCTATGTCACAATTAATCCGTTTCTTCTTTTTTTTGTCTTAAAACTAAGCTGTAGTTACACTACGCCATGGGAAAAAAAAACAATATTTTTTTGTCGGATTAATTTTTGATTAAACTGAATCACCTCTTGTTTTGTTGTTGCTTGTATGGATTTTATTTGATTGATTTTCTTATTTCGTTGGTTGCTTTGACTCTTTCGTGTTGTAGTCGAATGCTCTAGCTCTCTATGCGTTTTTACTGCTATACACTGCTTACGTTGTTCAAGTATTCAATTCGCCCATTAATTTTTACTAACAAAGCGAGTCGCTTGTGATTTTGTTTGGTGTATTTGAAGAAATATCGGTGTGTGTCATACACGCACACAAATGCAAACCAGAAAACCATATGCGAAAAAAAAACTGAGAATTCAGAATTGCATGGCCACCACCATGTATCTCTGCGACCGAATGCTTTGCTCATTACGTAAGTGTGGGTAAGATAGACAGTGGCAAAGAAGCGAAAAACTAACAAAACACACATACATACACAACACCCATCCGATGAGATCAACTGTCAACATGGAACCTAGTCGGCATAGAGGTCGCAACGAAACAGCATGAACAAAAAACCAACCATTTCGCCGTGATTAACGACAATTCGGGTTTGAATTTTTTTTTTCACACAAACAAAATCGACTTGGTTTTTTCTGTCATTGCGTGTATGAGGAATTTTCGAGATTGTATGAAATCAGCAGTTGGATCGATTATTTCATCTTGAGTAATGGTAATGGTGACAAAAATTCGAATTGAATATTGGCAAATATCGCTAAAATTGCTTGGACAATTTGCTATGCATTTTCTATGCTCTTTTTATATTAATATCCAGTTAGAACCAGTTAAAGAGCTGCTAGCTCGAATATCTTTACACGTTTCAATATTATTTTCTCCTTCCAAAATCGTAATATTTAATTGTCGATTCAGTTTTTCCCGAAAATATCTGATTTTACCCCAGAAAATTTGTCGACTTGAGTGTTCTATATCAATTTGTGTACACAATCAAATCATCTGATTGACTCACCACAAAACGATTCGTATTTATTTTGACTGACACGTAGTTAATCAAATATTTACGTATAAATGACTAATCAATGCACTTTTTATCAGGAATTATTCAACGAAAAACACAACAATTTTAAAAAATACAAAAGAAAAAAATATAACAAATATGCTCGGCAGATGGTTCGATGCGTCAGAAATGGTCGGCCGTTTGTGCAATAGCTTTTGTATATAGCACCTCGTTTTGACTTTTACACTCTCCGTACAGCAAGCAAATGTCAAACCATTCGCCGCGCACTCACTCACATTCCATTGCGTTTCATATATGGGCAAAAGTCAGTAAGACGAAACCACACAAAAATGTTTCTAAAGAGCAAAAAAGTATATTAACGCGATGAATTTTTGCATAGCATAACTATTTCACAGAACTTATATTCTCTGAAATTTTGATCCAATTCGTATAAATTTTTCATATGAAAATCTACAAATTTTCGATTTTTGTACCGACCGTTTTTTGAAAGCACAAGATTTCTACTATGCTTTTACAAAACTATCAGCTCGCTTTGATAAATACAAATGGTTTTTTTTTACTAGGAAATGATATGCCCACATTTTTGTTGAAATTTTCATAATGTTATACACAAACCTGGTCGGGCTTTTCGTTTCACCTCTCTAAGCCGTTTTCGAGATCGATGCGAAAGTTTCACTTCTTCTGGCATTATTCACAGCGTTCAATGGGATTTTTACAATCCGCCACCAGATATATCACGAAGCGAAAACTTAAAACAAAATATTAAAAACGAAAATAATAAGGAAACCGATTGAAAGGAACTTATTTTCGCTGGATCAATCCAAGCATCAGCACGAATTGTGAGTGCATTGACACAAAACTGTATGATTCTCGTCTTCGTTCTTTTTGTCAATATGGCTATACACACAGCATTTGAATAGCACAACTGCTACTACTGCAACACTCGAATGTCAAACGTACAGCGGCGAATTCAGTCGCGTTGATGACAATTTGTTGCTTTGTTATTACACAGTGTTTACTTATGAAAAATTTTAAAAACACAGTACGCAAGTGAATGAATAGCATTTCGAAAAGAAATTTCTAATCAAAACCATATTATTGCATTTCGTTTTTATTTTATTTCATTTCCCACAAAAAAACAACAACAAATTGAATTGCCACCCATTATTTGTTGTAATTTCAAATTTTAGTACGACCAAATCGAAATGATAACCTTGATGGCTCACGCATCAAACAAGTGACTTTGACAGTTCAAAACCCGATGCACAGAATAATTTCTGTTTGCTATTGAGAGAATAAATTCGTCTTTAGGTATCCTCACAAAAACTATCTCGAACTGAATTATAAATAACTGTACAAATCAGTATTTTAAGACAGTTGTGTTTAGAGCGTTGTAGCAAAACCTCTCAAAAACTGTATAGTTTCTGAGTTTTCGCATAATAACAAATAGAATACTGTTTCTGGTGCATATTAGTCAGCCTTCTTCAAATAAAGTCGATCAATTAGTATTCGTCACCAAAGAGGGGAACAAATCTTAATTATTCTTCAGTAAAAGAGTGAGTCTAATGTTGAAAATGTAAAATATTCATTGGTTCACAAATTTAACAAGTGACTTTAACAGTTCAATTGACTTCGTTTGTTATTGAGAGAATAAATTCGTCTTTTCATTCAAACAACGACAAAAAAGGTGAAGCTATTCTAAAATATTGTTGCTTTATTTGCAGATTGGGCTGGATTATTGACTATGGTAAACAAAAGAAAGAAACAATCATTCGGAAAAAGGCGTAAATTAAATGCAAAACGAAATCGAATTGAAGCCGAAGAGAATGCTGGGACTGTACCACCAAAAACAATCGTTGATATCGATAACGATTGCTTGGAACGAGTTTTCGAGTTGCTGAATTTTCGTGACTTAATTTACTTGGCTGAAGCATTTAGGTGTAGTAGCCGAAGCGGTTTTTGCTCGCAAACTCAAAAGAAGATTGATTGTCGTTGAAATTTCATCTGGACATAGACCCAATGACATGGATATTTTCGACGATGCAATTTACATTTATCGGGAGTTTTTAGCAGTCCAACTTATACGGCGTTTTGGTCAAAGTGTTTCTCGAATTCATTTAAAACTCAAAACCAAAAAAGTGATTTTTTTGAAAAGCGTCAGGGATCAGCGAGATATACAAATTGGATCTCTTCGCGAAAATTTATTTCTTCACGTCAATGAATATTGTCACAAGACGCTGAATGATCTACTCATTTGGAGACATAATGATCTACTCATTTGGGGAGATTCACACAGAGTTCATGCACTCACGTTTGGCGCAGTGAAACATCCGTTTGAAAACGTTGAAAAATTCTCATTTCATAAGGGGACAGTTGGAGCTGGGTTTGAACACTTTAATCGACTTTTCCCACGTTTACGTCAACTTGAAGTCGTCGACAGTTTCAGCATTCCGGATTGGAAACACATTGCTCACACCTTTCCTAATTTAAATGCTTTCACGTTCAACAACGATTCAGGTTTCCCAAAATATTTTACTGACAGTTATTTGAAAACATTCATAACTTTGAATCCACAGCTTGAGAGTACTGAACTAATCGGCTACTATGAACCGAGCATCTGGGAATTTGTCAACGCAGAACTCAAGAATTTGAGAAGCATCTACGCATCGTATTCCCCACCGCATGCTCAACACTTCAAAGATGGACCCATTCAATTCAATACGGTTGAAACATTCGATGTGCTCAGTGAAAAGGGTACAGACAAACATTCAATCGATATATTTTCTTTCAAGCGTCTGAAGAATATGAGAGTGAGTTGCTACAAAGACCAATTAGAGGTGTGGTTAGATTTCATTCTGGCACACCCAACAGTCGAATATCTTTCGATTCGGATTATTGATGGTTGGAAAATGCGGGATATTCTAGATGAGTTTGGAAAAGTACGCCAAAAATTAATCAAAGTGCGCCAAAATACCAAGTTCATATCATTACGGCTGCGTGATTCATTCTTTTATCCATCGGATATCAAGAATCCTACGAAATTTTCAGAATTGTATCAATGGTTTGATAAGATTTTTGTAAATTTCGATAGACGTTTTCCCAGAATGGAAGAATTCTGTACAATAATGCCGCAATTCAAAAAATGTAAAATGACTAAAAATGTCTTGGCAGAGTATACACGAGTTAATTTTGAGGAATGCGAATGATAAATGTAAATTTTGAGTTGTGCTCAAAGTTTTTGAAATCAAAATGTAAAAAAAAACAAAGTGTAATTCATTTCATTTTCAATGTTATACGTACTCCACTTGATAAGCAAATAAATCGAAATGAAACCAAGAAAAGACTGTTTTGTTTGAGATATTTTATTGTTTGCAGTAATAATTAATGATCAATTTTGTTTTGTTCACTGTAAGAGCCTATTTTGGTTTTTGTATTGATTTTTTCTTCTGGATGATGAATTTTCTCCCAGTCAATTTGGTTTGGTTGTGATAATTAATTTGATTTTTTTAAAATATCATCTTATGTTTTCGCCCAGTTTATCCAATCAATTCACGGTTATTATTGACCTTACAAGACAAACCTAGTAACTAAACCAATATTCAATGCACATTCCATTCGCTGCGATGCAAAAAAAAATTATTACTATTACAGATTCTGTCTTTTCTCCGTTCATCATATTTTATGTTTCAATTCTTGAATTCCTATTTGATTCAATAAAAAAAACTGCCTATTGTCTAATTCTTCCATACGCACCACTTTTAGTGTCTCAATCCATGTTTATTGTATCCCGACATTTCATGCGAATATTCAAGGTACATTACGCTGTCCGACCCCCCCAAATTGCTTGACTAAATTTCAAAACAAATAACTGGAAAAAAATGTCCTTTTGAAATGAATGAAAACTCGCCAAATTCTGTTTGGATTGGTTTAAATCTTTTTTTATTTAGAATTTGCTATTGTTGATAGTATTTTTTTCTTCTTTCTTTAAATGGTTTTTGGCAGCAAGGCACATGGAAATAAATCTATTTAAATATTCTTCACTTCATGAATGTTCTGTTTTATCGAAAAAAGAGAACAAAACAATGTCGTTATTAAATAGTTTATAAATTAAGAGAAAAAAATAGTTTCAAATGAAAAGAAGAGAAACGAAAATGTCAGAATACAATCGAACCTTGATCGTCGTACAGAAATCAAATGAAAACTATTGCAATTTGTTGAGAAAAAAAAACAATGTTCAATGATCAAAAGTGGAGAATATTTCGTAATAATCGTCATTTGTACACGTTGTGGCATTTGATATATTGGAGAATTATTGCGGGTCGAGTTCAGTTCGATTCGACATTTTCGTATTGATTGCATTTTGTTTCTCAGCTGTAGTTAGATAGTGTGTGTGTGTGTGTGTTTTAAATTGTTTTGTCATTGACATAATGATCGTAATCAATTTGCACTGCTACAACAGCAAAAATCCATCAGAAACTGACGCATCCAATGGACATAGAAAACGATAATTTTTTTCATGGAATTTGGCATTTTATTGGCTGTAGATTCAGCCGATGTCGAAGTCGATGACTGATCGACACTTAGCTATCATGACGGTGACAACATGGACGATGATTCATTCATACGTCGCCGTTTCTTCTTTTTCGCGGTTAGGCTCTCTTGGCCCGAATCCGTATTTGAATCGTCGCTATCTGATTCGCTTGATGACGATGAGCTAGACGATGATGACGATGAACTTGAGTTGCTGGAACTATCCGATGCATAACCAGTGGCTTCTTTTAAATTCACACTCTCGGCGATTTCAGCCATTTCGGGCTCCTTATCCTAGATAAGCAAGTGAATATGATTTGAATTGATTGCCACCACTCTCTGAATCAAATTTAAACTTACTTTAAGCACGCGCAACCATTTCTTCGATAATTTTGGTCGACCACGAACTGTTTTGTGCCAAACGATCGGAAAATTGGTTTTGCTACAGAAATTCTGGGTTACTGCTATCGTATCATCTAAATTGAGCACAACATGCCAGTAACCGAGCGGTACGAAGACTGTTTCACCCGGTTTTTGTAGAATTTCGATTGGTTGACAGTCTTTAGGCCAGTCTGGAAGCTTTGTTCTTGGGTATATCGCACTGAACCAAGTGACCGCCTCGTCTCGCTGTTTACCACCTATGTCGCTCGTGACCTTTAACAATTCTTTCGGTGTATGCGTTGGGAAGAGGCACCATCTTTTTTGTCCTACGACTAATGCATTCCACGCACTCGTTCCCAGTGGATCAATGTGAATACCGGTGCCAGAACGTGCTGAAAACGTATGGACCAATGAATTGAATTATAATCGATTCGAAAATGTGATCACACATTTGTGAAAAAAATGCGGAAAAAAGACGCGTGAGAAATTAAGTTAGATTTTGCAAATTACCTGGTCCCATCACGAACCAACGATATGGTGGACGTCGTTCTTCACCCGAATATTTAAATAAATCGTCCTGGAAATACTTTGGTACCACGTAGTCATCGAGCAGCTTTTTCCGGCGATGATGCTATGGGAGGAAGAAATGCAATTAAGTATCGTGTCACACTCTGAAGAAAAGAACGAAGAAAACCTAGAAAAATTGACACAAATCCACATACATCACCAAAGCTGCTGTCAAAAATGTACAGTGGACTGTCATCCTTTGTCGTTTGCATATATTCGACATAATACTTCATTTTCATTTTAACGCTGTAGCCTTCGTTATCTTCGCCACACTTGAACTTTTGGTTGCGATACTTTTTCATCAACCGTGGTAGCGTCCATTTTTCATTGGCTTTCCAATTTGTCTGCGAATTGATAAAGAAACACAGAAAAATTCTGTCGCAATCAGATGAATCATCATAAAAATATGAATTGCGTATTATTGTGAAATAAAAATCGTGCAAATACCTGTAAGTTTGTGATAACGACCGGCTTATTCGGCTTTTCATATCGTTCGATAAATTCTGCACAGCTCACGAATTGCGCGTCGATTCGTTCAATATTGTCATCGAATTTCCAGAACTCTTCAAATCGATTCGCATAGTCCAATACTGTCCATGCTCCTTTGTCACCCAACTCTGTGTACACAACAAAAGAATGTGTAAAATAAACAAATGCATTTGTTATTGTGTATATATCGTATAAACGCAGAAGCGGCGTACGTGACTTGTCAATGCTTGCGATGACACTACTTCGAATAGCGGTGTGAAGTTTACAGTGAATTAGAACATTCTCGCATTTCTGAGTCTGGGTCAAAATGCAACAACAATTTTCTAAAAAAATCACGCAGTTCAGCTCGCTTTTATGAATACAAATGGGTTTTGTGGGTGGATTTTACTAGAAAATGAATATGCCCACATTTTTGTTGAAATTTTTTAATAATTTTATACACAAACCTGGTCGGGCTTTTCGTTTCACCTCTCTCAGCCGTTTTCGAGATCGATGCGAAAGTTTCACTTCTTCTGGCATTATTCACAGCGTTCAATGGGATTTTTACAATCCACCACCAGATATATCACGAAGCGAAAAGTTAAAACAAAATTTTAAAAACGAAAATAATAAAGAAACCGATTGAAAGGAACTTATTTTCGCTGGATCAATCTAACCATCCGCACGAATTGTGAGTGCATTGACACAAAACTGTATGATTCTCGTCTTCGTTTTTTCTGTCAATATGGCTACACACACAGCATTTGCATAGCACAACTGCTACTACTGCAACACTCGAATGTCAAACGTACAGCGGCGAATTCAGTCGCGTTGATGACAATTTGTTGCTTTGTGATTACACAGTGTTTACTTATGAAAAATTTCAGAACACAGTATGCAAGTGATTGAGCCTGGTTTTCTAAAAGAGATTTTGTTGATTGGAAATTAAAAACAAAAAAAGAGTATTACTACATCTCGGTTGAGAAATTGAATTCGCCACAAACTGGCAACTGTCAAGACCGACCGACGAATTCATACCGTTCTGACATTTACATTGTTCGAGCTCATTGTTTATATTTATTTCGTTGAAATTATTTTTAATATTTCACTTCAAATCTCAACATAATTTCGTCTCTATTCAAAAGTGGAAATCCTTAGTCCAAAATCAAAAAAAAAAATTTCATTTCTTTTCAATTGCATTTCCCACCAAAAGAATCAACACATAGCATTGCCCATTGTTTGTTGTAACTTTAAATTTTAGTACGACTAAATCGAAATGATGACCTAGATGGCTCACGAATCTAACAAGTGACTTTGACAGTTCAAACCGATTCAGCTTGTTGATGAGAAAAAAATTCGTCTTTGCATTCAAACGACGCCAATTATTTTCTTCTTAAAGATACGTGCGTATAATCGATGAAATTTCCGTGAAAATGAATATAAAAATTGACATTAGTTTATGTCGTGTGTGTTTAAAGCAGGGACCCGGCATCAATATTTACACCGGCAATATTTTGGAAAAATTTCTATTCACAACTCTAGTACAAGTGAGTAAACTGAGAATAATTCTTTTACTACACACATTCCAACCAGCCGCAATCTTTTATATTAATTTTCTTCGTTTGCTACAATTCATATCTAGTCTGTTACTCCGTCCCGTTATAGATTGGAATTTTAATTTTTTGTGATTTTTACTGGAAAGTTGAAAAAAAAAAATGAATTTATTCGGAATTTTGTGTTCTGAAACCCTGTTGATAAAGAGGCGGTTTCCCATGTTGTTGGCTAAAATGTAAATTTCATTGTATTTTCGTCCGTTTTTTAGGTGGAGAAAAATGACGGTTTGTCAGAGATTATATGCAAAAAGTGTTTGGCACGCCTGCAAATTGCCTATGATTTTAAAAAAGATGCCATCGCATCGAATCGAGAACTTCGCAGCTTCATTTCGAATGTGAACAAGCAATTTCAACAGGTCACTGGTACCAATACCGTTGATACTAAATCGAAACGCAAATCGCAAAAGGATGGCGAAAGTGAATCGTTTGATGAACTGGAAGAGGATATGCAAGCTCTGATCGATGACGAACAAGTGACTGAGTTCAAAGATATCGAAATCGATTTGCCTGACGATACGAAAAAGGAAATCGATAGAGATCAACTTGTGGAAATACTGGGCGACAATAATGCCATTACCATTCGTAAAACACGATCCGGGCGCACATTTGCTGTTCAAGAGGACTCAACAGACGAACCACCAGAGAATATGGAAGTATTTTTGGTTGAGGAAGGCAGTGAAGTTGAAACGGGCTACATTGTCGATGAGTATGATCAAAATGCAGGCGAACTCATTACAGACGAAACAGATGAACCACAGTACTTGGAGGACGATGAAAATGATGATCAATTGTATGAACCGGTGAGCTATTGAACGATCTTGATGAAAATGAAAGGCGAAATACGATTTATGCTTGGAACACAGTTTTTTTTATTTCGAATCTTCACCGAAGTTTTATTAATTTATTTCCTTTTCCAAAACAGGAGACAAGCAAGAGCAGAAGTACACATCAAAAGACGACAAGAAGCGCTAGCAGTTCAAATCAAGATAATCGTTGCGAAGTGTGTCACAAGACATTCAGCACACGAACCAATTTAACACGGCACAGAATCACACACGAAGGTCGAAAACCATACGTTTGCCAGATTTGTGGCAATGCTTTCACCCAAAATGGATCGTTGAAGTCGCACATGGTAAATGGATGCATTTTCTTGTATATTTTAATGGAACTTTTCAAGATTATTCCATTTTTGATTATAAACTTGTGTTGTTCGTTGAATAATGTTGATTTTATATCTGTTTCAGTTCATTCACACGGGCGAACGCCCATTCCAGTGCAAAGAATGTGGAAAGGCATTCACACAGAGTAAATCGTTGGTATTCCACTTGCGACGACGTAAGTTACTCCAGGCATGCTTCGATCAATGAGAAAATTTGATGTGTCTAACGAATTTCTTTCCTCTTTTACATGTTTTTCATTCAGACACGGGTGAGAAACCGTTCCCATGCACATATTGTGGCATTAAATTCCGGCAGAAGGATGGTCTTAAGCGTCACATAGCCGCCAAACATGCACCAGATCGATCGAAGCACCACGTTTGTGATATTTGTGGCAAGGTTCTATTGTCCAAATATTCGCTGAACATGCACTTGAATCGGCATTCCACCCAAGAGCTAACTGCTCACGGAAGAAGCACCAATAAATCGTAATTTAACCGTACATTTGATAATTGTTCGAAAGAAAATTAAAGTTTTCGTTTTTCATTCCAGAGAAAATTCAACAGGCAATGATTGCATTTCAGGTTTGTGCAATAGATTTAACATTTGAATTAATTTTTGGTTTTATCGTTTTGACATTTTTCCAATTATCCATTCACAGCTGACGGTGTGAAGAGTGAAGACGAAAAGATCAGAGGCGACATGGGTTGGGATGAACTCTATTCGTGTGACTTTTGCGATCAGGCTTTCACCAACTCAAATGATTTGATAGAACACCAAGAATCGCATCCTGAAGCCAATGATGATCAACCCATGGAAGACTCTAGTTAGAAGTGATTAATATAAGAATATCCTATTTTTAAGCAACAGTAATTGTATGAAATGCCGTCTCTTTCCAAAATCCTTTCTTTTGGCCCATATTTTTCTATATAAGACAGTTTTATTTTGAGGCTTCGAATATTTTCAATATTGTTCAGATACTTGTATATGGTTAAGACAACACAATAAATCAAACACTGAAGACAGTCAATTGGTTTTGATCATTTATTGATTCTTTTCTTGGTTTACGACGGAATCAATGAGTTTGATCTACGTAAATCATCTTTAGTCTTAAGCAAAATTTTTGAAGTTGGCTTTTTGTTATTCAGAGTATAGATTCTTTTGCAGCGAAAAAGGTACTTGCACCGTAGAGAAGTGCATTTAGAATGCCGAAGACCTAGAGTAATAGAGAAGAATTGAAAATTTTACGCTTTATCTTAGCAAATGTATGTTCTTACTGCAGATGCCGTATACATATCCGCCGGATTGGCTGTAGGAACAGTATTACTAGAACCTATATAAGCACTCGATCTCCCATAACCTGTACTAACAGCTCCTGTACTAGGAGCCGAATGAAGCGTAATTATCCAACCCAAAGATGCTATTATGTGGAAAAGTGCAGCAACTCCGTTATAAATTAGTTCCTGAGCGGAAAATAAATATTAATCTTTTTTTCTAAAATTCAAAGCTGTGTTTGACAATGTATTTACGTTGTATGACTCGAATAAAATGGTCGTAGTCAATGAAATAATTGTTCCAACCAAGAACATATTGATCGTCTCATGAAAGAATAATTGAAGTCCGTTGTATACTCTTGGTACTCCTAGTACTACTACTAAATTAAAACAGGCGAGATTTAAGCCTGTGCAAATGATTCCCAAAATCTATTCACGCAAAATTTACATTATTTTTTTGATGAACGAAATGAGATTTCATCAAACTTTCTTACAATTTGCACAAATTTCAGTATACCCTTAGGCGTAGTCACTCTATTTATATCAATGTTCATTTTGGCCATTTCGTATTTGAGAGAAATTCAAAAATATTTTTTTTTTGGGATTATGAGGAATTTTTCTTTTCAGTCTGTTGAATTTGATCAAATTTATGGATTAAGTCGGTTCCGAATGGGTTGAATTTTCTAGAATTTGCTTCGAATTTACCGACGATTGTCCTTTAAATGAAAAAATTGCCGAAAATAAAATTCGGAATGTCAGAAAAAATGGAGCAAATTTAATAAATTTTGAGATAAAGATGATTTGATCAGAAAACTTACTGACAATAATGAATTGTAATGTGTAGAGTAACGTTTGCTTGGACTGACTGTGAAGTGATTGAATTAATTTCTCAATGCCTATTTCCATTGCGATTTCAAATTCCAAAATTATTTTCAAAACCTTTTGCTAAGAATCTCAGTTGACTGTTCATAATCATTTTTCAGGAACTTGCCACTTGATTTTAAACTGATAGCAATTGAATGTTTGTTGACTTTAATTCCCAAAACTGTTTCCTCTCCATTGACAAATTGCAGAAATAGTTAAGTATTTTTGTTTCGTCTGGAACTCGACGCAAAATGTTTAGCTCGACAGTTGAGATTGAAATAATAATAACCAGAGTTTACATAATGATCGAAGTAGCAATAGCTTTTTTATTTAAATCAAATATGATAATAAAATGAACATGTCAAAATATGATTTTCATAAACTTTTTTTTTGTTGTAGAGCGTAAAACATTTTGAACACTCTTTTTTGAATTAAATTTCTATGGAATTTCCTTCTACACTTGATTGCTTTGAGCCATTTGAAAGTTTGTGTTCCTGTTCATTGCACCCTGTTGTGGATAGTTGGGTGGATAATTAGGTGGGTAATTGGGTGGATAAGGTGCCCATTGTCCGCGTGGTTGAAAGGAAGAATCTTACATGCTAATGATTGCAGCACCGACATAAGCAAAACTATTCAAGAAACTTAGGCTCTAGAATCAAAAACTTGATTTAGAAATAGTTCAATTTATTTTGATTAAGTATAAACTTACTCCAGCAACAGTATATAGATTATAAACTCCTACTGCCTTTAAAAATTCCCTATAAAGTATTATGTTAACCGTAACTAACATAGCCAAAGTGGTCGCAACATGTAGGAGTGCAGCTGTTGCATTGTATATTGTTTCCTAATAGAAAAAAGGCAGCTTAGATTTGAATAACGATATTTAACAATTTCTTACCTTTGATTCGGACTGGTTGATAAGTCTAGTTATAAGCGAAATGATTGTTCCAATCAAAAACGTTGTGGTGACCAGAGCAAAAAGGAATTCAGGCACTGAAATGAATCGTGGATAGAACAAGCCTGGTAAGATTGGGTCGTCCAACTCTAACTCTTCTGCAACTACGTCCATCCTCAAATTGATAAAGTTGTAGATAACTATAAAAAAGCAAATGCCTCCCAAAATCTGTTGGTATACAAATTTATATTTATTTGTGGATTGAGTTGCCCATTAATAAACAATAAATCAAATTTAGATCAACTCACAATTTGGGCAGCTTTTAACAGGTTCATTTGACCTGATGAAACCATTTTGAATGGATTGTGGATTGCAGCAAGTTACGTCTATTATGGATTTCAATTGTGTTTTTTTGTTCTTTTTAATAAACCGGTTGTGTACGTTGACAAATTTAGATTCGAGAGTTGCTCCAAATATTTGATTGTCTTTAAATAATTGACGGCATTGAACTGACTGTGATCTAATGATTTTTTTTTCAAGGCTAATATGATTGAACTTTGTTGGATCGAACTTGTTTTTTTCAAGTTTCGTTGGGTTCTTGTTAGCTCTATTTGAAAAACAGTCTTTGCATGAATCCCGTTGAGGGTGTTTATATTGAACGAACATCTCCAAATATTTATACTTGAATCATTTTCTTTGCATGAAATTACCGGAATGTGTATGTTGTTGCTGCGTGCCGCCACATCAACTGAACGCACTTCGGTCGAATCGTTGCGGCTGCACGTAGCAACACACGCCACTGTATTATACAGTATGCGTCGTCGATGTGCTCGGATATATCCGTGCTTTACGAAATGCTGAGATGCTCAGCAATCTTAAAACACATGTTTGATCTGCTTACACCATTTTTCACTGAATTATTATTTGAAGATTTTCTAATAATGAGTGTAAGGATCGTGAAAAATAGCGCGACTGGAACAATAAAGTCGAAGAAAATTTCCAAGTGAGAAAAATATCTGTTAAGATACAATTTAGGTTCATCCGAGTACACCTTAACAAGTCTATGGATAATCAAACTGAAGGTAATCGTTCCCAGAATCTGATGATATTATAACTAAATTAAATTAATTGTGAGCATTTTTCGAAAATGAACAAGAAGTCAAAGTCGATGAACTTACAATTTGAATTACTTTAAGGCTATTAACCATTTTGAACGTTGATGAACGGTTGTTTTGCCCGTCGCCATCAAAACGATTCAACTCTGCTTCGGACACTATTTCGACATCGTTGAATATTGTCATTTTTGTCCAAAATAATCTTCAATTTCAGAGTAATGTCTTCGATCTCAGGATCTGATTTTAAATTGAGATTCATGCAAACCGGGAAAATAAGCCTTTAAGTTGGATAATTTACAGGAGATTTAAAGTTGGATTAGCTCAAAACAAACATGAATTTTAAGGCTAAATAAAATGTTTAGCTATAGTATTTCGTTGAAGTGATTGAGAACTGATAGGATATATTTTTCAGGGCTAATGTGATAAACATTTGAGCAGATTTCATTTGATGTAAATACAGTCAAATGCATGGTCTAGTAAAAGGAGATATTAAATAAAGCATTTAGATGAGTCTATTTCGCATATTTACGTTCACCACAAAGTAGTATCAAAAATGTTTTCCAAAAACATTTTGATTTTTTTTTTGTGGTTTTGTTACCTTTTGACTGATTGAATATCAGAGCCTTCGTGATTTCGATTTCAATATTGTTTTCATACCTTTTGCTAAGGATTTTTGTTGACTGTGTAAAATCAAGTTTCAGAAACCATCCATTAAAGGGCATTTTGTACGCTAACAAGGACAATTTAGAAATCGCTAATAGAAACCAAGACATTATTATTCATACAACTGAAATAAGATCATTTTCAATTTAAAAAAATGAATTGTATGTTTGTTTCATTTGGCAACATTTATCTTTCAAGACCAAGACAGTGGATGCAACATAAACGAAACCAGTCAGGACTCCAAAGACCTAAAATAACGAATACGTATCAGAAACATTTCAATTGAATTCAAAACATAAATATGCTTACGCCAGCAGCGAAATAAACTTCATAAACGTTGAACTGTTCTAAAAATATTGTATGATAAGGTTCGTTTATCTGCACTAGCATAGCAATAGCCGCAAATATATGTAAAAATGCTATCATTGGATTGGAAATCTCTTCCGCCTAGCTAACAAACATATTATTGATAAGGAACGTGGATCTTTGCTAGCCCGTATAATTTCGAATCATAAATCCATGAAAATTAAACAACAGGTGACTTAAGGAGGGAATTCATCATAGGACAGCGTAAATTTACTTGCCTCTCTACTTTGGCAGTATATTCTAACGATAAGAACTATGCATGTGTAAATTAGAAACGTAAAAATGGTCAAGTCGAAAAACATTTCCCACATCGAAAGATATCTTTCGACCATTTTGTAAAACCAACTTTCTGTATCCACTTCGACGAAGGTGTAGATAATCAAAACGAGAGTAATTGTTCCCAGAATCTATTGATATCATAAGTAATCTAAATTAATATTGAACATTTGGCGAAAATGAAGAAAACAAATCAATTTGGATCAACTTACAATTTGTACTAATTTAAGGCGATTAATTTGTTTGAATGTTGTTAATTGATTGCTCTGTTCTATGCTGCCAACACGATTAACTTCGGGTTCGCCCACCATTTCGTTGTTGAACATAGCCATTTGTATCCAAAATAAACTTCAATTTCAGAATAATAACTTTGATCTTTGGATCTGATTTTCAAATGTGTTTCACGGAAACGACGAAACAAAGTAAGTTTTTAAGTCGCCAATTTACAGGAGATGCAAATTTGGGTTAGTTCAAAACGAAAATAAATTTTAAGACTTAATTTACAACTTTTAACTATTAATATTTCGTTGAAGTGGTTAACTGATAGGATATATTTTTCGGGGCCTATGTGATAAAATATCTAAAAAGTTTACATTTGCATTTCTATTGGCTAGATTGAGAGGAGAGTATGTGAAAAAAATCGAATATATTTTGAAAGAGGAGAGTATGATTTCTGTTGATTCTATCTGCGTTAAAAGGGAGTATGTTGGCAACCCGTCTAGCCTCCGCGGTTTTTCACGGTTTCCACGGAACTGATAAAGGATAACAACATAGTGTCTTCGGCAAAGTTGTAGTACTCAAGGTCTTCTATAACATTGCTGAAGACATCTATCTCTTATCTCTTATCAGTTGCGCGCAAATCGCGCACATAAAAAAGCAAATTTTATATAGAACTTTTTTTTTCTTATCATTTTTCGCGCTTTTCGCGGAACTGATGAGAGATAAGAGATAATAAACTTCAGCAATGTTATAGAAGACCTCAAGTGCTACAACTTTGCCGAAGACACCAAGTTGTTGTCTCTTATCAGTTCCGCGGAAACCGTGGAAAACCGCGAGGACCCGCCAAAAATGAACATACTCGCCTTTAACCATTTTTGAGTCGAAAGAAACTTACTCTCCTCTTTCGTAACAAAGTCAGATGAACTTACTCTCCTCTCGATCTAGTCAATAGATTTGAAGTTTACATTTGATTTTTATGAAAAACATTTTCTAAAAACAATCGATAAATTATTGTTTTTTTTTTTCATTTCAGATCTTTAATTTGAACACACTGCTTGGATTCAATCAGTTTTGCTTTATTTTAATTATTCCAGACTGAAAATGTGTATAAACTCTGATTGTTCATATTGTTGCTTCTGACTTGATTCTCGATGGTTGCTTTTGCCTATTATCGAAACACATGTGCTAATGATATATAACACTCCATTGAATATGCCTAAGCTCTGAAACAGAATTCATGAGTTAACAAATGCTTAGACTACAAGGAACAATATCCAATGCCATATTCATACCCCACAAGCAAAGTACTTGTTGTAGACGTAGAATTTGTTATAAAATTCCTTTCTAGATGTTTTAAAGCGATGTTTGCTATCATCATCAATTGTCACAAAGAGACCGATCGAAGCTATTACGATCAAAATTGCAGCAATGGCGTTATAGAGTATTTCCTGAGTATAGAAACAAAAATGCTATGAACGATTTTAATATATTCTAGAAATTCATTCGATTCTTTTACGTTTTTCATGTTTCCAAACAGCAAATTCGAAAAAAATAAAATCAAAGTGCTGATAAAGAATGTTACAGTTATCACAATGAAAAATAGTTCCCAACCAGACGAAATCGAGTAGGTATAAACGAGCATCAATTTTTCGTAAATTCGGCTCGGAAATTCTTCAAGTTCCTCGTTAAAATTATCAACAATGATCACAGAAGAAATCGCTCCAATAAACTATTTTTAATATCAAAATTCATGAAAAAAAAATTCGCACACAAAATACATACGATTTGAGGTATCTTAAGTATATTCAACAATGGTTGAGTGTTACAAACGCTTCGGTTCATGTTCATGTTTTGTATTATCTTCAAAATATCAATAGAAAGTTCTCGAATGTGTGTGAAAACTGTAAAGTTGTGATTGCGTCTGGAGAATATTGAAAATTGCGACGATTATAAAAGAAATGGACGCTTACATCAGTACATAAAAGTAATTCCACAAAATTATTGAATGAATACCCGAACTATGTGAAAAACTACATAAAATATCAACTAAAAAGAGATTAAATGCATTTGCAAAGTTGATACGATCAAAAGAATCATCGAAACAAATTGTTTTCAATGTGATATTATACGCAAAACCGAAGAAATTCACCAAAAATCGCACTCTGAACTGTTTTTTTGTGGATTCATTATCGTTTTCATTAAGCTTAATCGAAAACCCATAATCGGGTGTTTATGGAAACATCTAGTGATAAGAATGATTCATAATGCTTGAAATTTTCAGTTGATTAGTTTATATCCAGTCGTAGCTGGTTTGCGAAAAAGTACACTTGCAGCATAAAGTAATCCGTTCAAAATGCCGATGATCTGAAAATGATGGAAATTGGTTAGAAAGAGTACGATTCAACTTGTCACTTGAATGTGTTCTTACTCCAGCAGCAATTAATGTACCATGGACCGATGTCTTTTCATAATAACTTTTGTAGGCGGTGGAATTGGCATGAACTAAAAGTCCAATTGATGCGATTTCATAAAAAATAACGGCAATTACGTTATAAACCACATCCTAGAGCACATAAATACTTGATAAGTTATTTCATTTGGACACATGTGTGAATCAACTTACATCAATAACTAAACCCAAACCAACAATCGAGATAATCGAAATGATTGAGTGAATCAAGAACATTACAACTGTTATATCCGAGAATAGAATCCATCCCGTTACAAAAGTGAAATCTGGATTGGAATCAGGTTCGAGATTTTTGCTCAATTTGTAAAAGCTGCTAATAAAGAGGCCAAAACAAGTAATTCCAACAACCTGCATACATGAGAAAATGAATCAAACATTCAGAATGTTAATGTAGAAACAATCAACGACAAGTGTTATCTTACAATTTGGCAAACTTTTAATAAGACCGATGTTGACGTCAAATGGCCCGAACTCATGTTTAATTTTGGGGCACCGATGTGATGTGATGTTTTGATTTCAAGCAAAGCACTGGATCAGTTTAAAATTGGTCAAAATGATGGAATAACAATTTTTTATGCAAATTATAAATAAAATACGTTCGCAATATGAACTATGAAATTTGTCATAAAATTTAAAGGGCCGCTTTATTAGCGTTCATATGCCGCTTGAATCTCTACCATCGCCGCAAACAAATCCGTTATGAATCTGACTTTTCTTTAAAAATAAAAAACATCTTCGAATAAAAAAAAAGGTAAAATAAAATTGTAAATTCAATTTCTCAACAGTTTATAAAAAAAAATTATTTGCATCAAACGATTCCCATTTGAAGTTTGAAACTTCGAAACTAACAGCGACATCTAACGAAAATCCGTTACAACACCCATTCGCCATATTGACAAGTGACAAGTGTGTTGTTGTTTCAAATTTCAAGTGGGAATGGTTTGCAGGGAAATAATTGTAGTTTTCCAAATTTTTATTGATGCAAATAAAATATTTTTTATAAACTGTGTGTTGAGAAATTGAATTTACAACTTTTTTCTACATTTTTTTTATTATAAAATATTTTTGGATTATTTTGTTTTGAAAAAAGTCAGACAAACAAGTTATGCCATATAACACCGTTATGAAGTTTTGTTTGAAGCACTGAAAGCACTGAGAACTTTTTTTCTTGGTTCAATATCAACCGACTAAAACGAAAATTTAATTTTTATGATAAAATTTGCAATGGTCTTTGATGCGAACATAAGCATGTTCACGACAATAAATGAAATCCCTTCGTTTCGACCGGCTGTGTATATGCTTTGTAGTGGTAACAAACAGTCATGTTTTGTGATAAAGTATACAAAACTGGCGTGTGAGTAATATAGAAAATTCTGTCAAAATGACGAATTTAATAAATTCCCACACAAAAAAAATAATTATACAAAATATACTTTCTTTATACATACTTTAATTGTCCAAAACGAATATTTTCAGTATCGCATAAATATCGCACGATATTTCTCTGCTTACGTTACCGCACTATCTGGATACTGAATAACCGTTGCGCTTTGCACATGTAATGAGGCAAATGCAAGCGGTATTGAACAGCGAATGTCTTGCGACGCACAGTGGAAATTTCAGTATTGTGCAGCAACGCAAGCAGAAAAATATAGCGCGATAATTATGCGATTGTGAAAATATGCGTTGGATACATTCCTCTATATAGAGAGTTGCTGCTAATATCAATGAAATTTGTATAAGATCGTAGCTGTGTTATCGCTCGCATTACACTTTCGTTGAATTTGATTCAAAGAATGGCTGAAATTTTTGCAAAATATTGGCAGTGTCAAATTTTTTTCCCCCTTCGTACTAACTGCTGTCATATTTCGTTCACGTACTTACGACATTAGTGCGATCAAATAAATTGTATGTCACCGCCAAAATCTCTATCGTACTTCGATCAAATATGACAGGATTTTTTTTTATTTTCCTTTGTAAGTGGTTGAATTGGGGAAGGTTACTATAAAAATGTCTAGCAATTACGGTGAATATGAATTTATGCATAAGTGGAAAAATAATTCATAGATAAAACGAAAAGATTGTCTCAGTGTTTTGTGTTACATATGTTGGCACAGTCATATATGCCAGTTACTGGAATGAATTGAGTGAAATTTTATAAAACCTGAACAAAGTCTTATCGCAGCACCACTACTGCTAGTGGCTGGATATTGTATAGTTCAAGTAGTATTTTTAACTTTCATCTTTATTAATATGCACCAATAATCCAATGCACACTTTGTGTTACTACATAGAAACAAAATAAATTCAACGAAATTTCCGAACTGAACATTATTCATGGATATTAAGTATTTATTGCGCTTTACAGAAAATCGAACATATATTTGGTGTTGATAAAATAACATCTAGTGATAAGAATGGTCCACATTGTTGCATTTTTTTTTTTAGCTGAATGAAGTGAAAGGGCATTTGAAGTCAGTTGCACACGGGCATTTTACGCATATCCATGAGCGGTGCCATTGAGAAAATTGTCATCTGTTCAGGTAGTCATAGCTGGTTTGCGACAAAATACACTCGCAGCATAAAGTAATCCGTTCAAAATGCCAAAGATCTGGAATGATGGAAATTGGTTAGAAGAAGTACGGTTTAACTCGTCACGTCCATGTATTCTTACTCCAGCAGCCATTAGTATACCATGGACCGATGCGTTTTCATACAAATTGTTGTAGCCGGTTGGATTGGCATGAACTAAAAGGCCTAGTGATGCGATTCCGTAGAAAATAACAGCAATTACATTGTAAATCACATCCTGAAAGATAAAAAAATACTTATTTATTCACATATGGAATTTTCTTTGAATAAACTTACAATCCAATCAATGAACAAACCCAAACCGACAATCGAAACAATCAAAACGATTGAGTTAACCAGCGACATTATAACTGTTATATCAAAGAATAGATGCCATGCCGTAAAAGAGATACTGATATTCTTGATACCGACATCTATGCTTGCATCAGTTTTTGGATCTACACCTTGGATTGACACATCCAATTTATTGAAACTGCCAATAATAAGACCAAAACAAATGATTCCAACAACCTGTATATATACGAGGAAATTTCAGCTTACGAATTAAACCTTCAAAAATTTTACATAGAAATGTTGTGATGGATAGTTGGATAATGATCTTACAATTTGGCCAACTTTTAATAAGCCCGATTTCGTTGTAAAATAGTTCAAATTCATGTTGACAAATGCACCTCAAAATCTCTAATGTGATTACTTTCAAATGTTATCTCAACCAATTCGTTTTGAAGCAGATAAAAAACCAAAATAAAATATTTCATCAGAAATTGAAGTAAGACTAAAATCAAATTTCAAGTTTAAACTTGTGATAGGTTGTATCACAAACATTTCAATTTTTTAATTGATTTAATCGACGCTTCAAATGGTTTTATTCAAATGAAATATAAATATTGACCAAGAAAATAGCGTTGCACATTGCGCAGTCTAATCAGAATTTTTTTTTAGTTGTTGGTCATGGCTTGAAATATGACGATTTGTTTTTGTTGAAACACAATTTGTTGAAATAGCGTGATGAATTTTTTATTAAGTGAATATTAAAAATTTGTATGGGACCATAGCAGTGTTATCGCTTGTACTACATTTTTGTTGAATACGTTTGAATCAAATAACATGAATAATGTTTTCGTTTACATGACTGTGGCTATGATAAAATTGTTTGAAAATGATAAATTTTTCCAACAAGGTTAGCAGTTAGATCAAATGTGAATTCAGTTCAATGATATCTAAATAATGAATCACTTTGCCCGATTCTGTGCGTCGTATTATTTATGTTGACACATGTACTCATGACACTAAACAATGTATTCAATATATCAACTACGAACTAATGAAGAAAAAAAATGTCATCTATATTTTCTTCAATTTAAAACATATTTTTAAGCAAACGAAGACGTTAACTAGATCTTATCGCTGCAATGGTGTAATTTTTGAAAACCGAGTAGTGATTTATTCTCAATTTTGGATAATAAATACTAATAAAAATTTTTAGAAATTGGAAAACTTTTTAAGAAAAAGTTTAAAAACGTTCTGAAAAGAAAACTAGTCCCATCTATTCTGATAATAGTATCACGGAAATAAAAATGCACGGTTTAATCAAATGTAGATGATTTTAAATAATCTCGACAATGATACCAATTACCTTTTAATTTCTTTGGTTTTTATAAGTATTAATAAAATCTGACAAAATGTCATAATTTATAAAACAAACTATAGATTGAAGTTCTTTTTATTCGAATCGAAACACGAAATTCAACTGTATAGTGTATACCAACATTTCAGTCATAAGTAATGGAATATATTTGTTTGTGCTGTGTTATTTATATGTGCCCGATTTGGGTTTGTAAATGGCATATAATATTTAATACACTTACAAGGGCTTATTTCAATTGGCGAACGAAAAATGCGTCAATAAATTAAAAAAAAATTAAATCCAGACGCAAATATTTTAAATTCAAAGGATGGCTTCATCAATTTTCATAAAATACCGATAAATTTGGCCATAAATTTACTATTTGTTCTGCATTAAATTTTCATTGAAGAAATTTAAATTAGAATATTCATATTTTTTGTAAAACAAAAGATATGTTATTCTCTAATAAAATATTTTATTTAGAAACAAATCTTAGATCAAACACATATTTTATCTGTTATACCAAATACAAAATTAGCCATCAAGATCCTTCATACTTTGGTGTCTTTTAAGAGATTCAATGTCTTGAGATAGCGTTTCTTCGATTAATGAATCCGCTACCAGCATAAAAAATTGAATTCAGTATGCCAAGTACCTGGATTGATGAAAATAAATTCAAACAATTTTGTTAAAAATAAATCACAATTAATAAAATGAATCATATTACCCCAGAAATGGTGTATTTATCATAAAGCTGGGCGGCTTTATGAACATCTACATTCAATTCTCTATTAATTTGAACCAATAATCCAATGGACGGAACTATAATTAACAGTGTTGCAAATGCATTATGGACTATTTCCTGAAAAAAATGAAAAAAATATCAAGGATAAACGCTTATAGATGAAAACTCAAAAATCACTTACGCTATTTGGATCATTAAATAAGTTTGTTAAAAACAAAATGAGCGTGGCGATTAAGAACGTTATGTTTACTACATGGAAATATAGTTCCCATCGACTTACAAATTTGTCATAACTATAATAATTACTTGTAACCAATCCGAAACAAACAATTCCCAAAATCTATGTGTGAAAAAGTATTATAAGTCATAGACCAAAAAAAAGGAATAAAAATTTGTCAACGTTACGTACGATATGAATGATTTTCAAAAGTCCTTTCAGTGATATCATATATTTCATGCCCATTTTTGCTTTTTAGATTGTATGCTCTTGTAGATAAAAACTGGAAAAATACAAATTTAAATTCATTACTCATTAAATGTGTAAAAAGTTGAATAATCCTTGAATTAAATCGTTATAATTAAAACTTTAAGAAAATTGGAAGCAACTGAAATCTAAACAAAAATTCAATAGTAAGTCCTATTCAAATAACGTGTTATCTTAAATCGCGTCGTATAAACGAGAAGCACAATGAATCCATCGAGAATGTGAAAAATTTTAAATTATGCAAAGTATTCGATAGAGAAAGCAGTACCAATCAGCATGCGACTACCGAAAATGTTACCCTCTTGTTTTGATTGGATTAAAAGAACGTAGAATTGAAAACTGCTCTTGATCCCGTGTAAGGATTGTTTGCCGTTAAATTTTCTACCTGATTGATCTCTAATTGTTCCGTTGTGAAAAGAAATTTTTGTTAGCAGTAGCAAAATAGAAAACCAACGCACAAGCATACGGTATCTATGTTGGCCAGCTGCTCATCGGAGAAAAGGTTCAATTTTTTACGTCTCATTCGCACTGTTTATCGATAGTTGAAATTGCTTTCAGATCGTTCTATTTATTGGGAAATCGTAATTTCAAATGGATTGCCTTTTCATTGAATGTAATTGATGGTTTTGGTTACAGCAGACGACACATTCTATTTACCTTTGCTACCATTACCAAAATTGACAGTTTGAAATGGCCGAAATGTGTTTAACCATAAATTATATGGATATTTATAAGGAATGTCTGCTTTTATGAACCGCTCCTTTCGAACATATTGAAACTAGACTTTGATGTTTCTAAAATGACATTCAATTTTAAACGTCTGCCTTATCAATTATAAAGTCAAAAATTGGGTTAATCCATCATAGTCCTGAATCCTTTGCATTACTTTGTATTTGATACTTCACTTATTCCACTTACCAAACTTTCAGAAAATTTACAACTTATTTTTCATTTTCAATTAAAACACTTTGAATTTGTTTCAAACTGGTTTATTTCTTATTTTCAATTTAACCGAGCACTTTGAAGACAAAACAATAAATGAGCTTCATATTTACTTTGTAACTATTTAAATACACTCATCGAATTTTAATGAACCATATTAAATGTGTTGAAAGGAAATAAAAATTCTACGAATAATCTGGTTTTTATCGCTTTTTTCGCAATGACGTTTTCGAAAATTCAATGATTTATAGATAAAAGGCTTGATTATGAATATGGCATTTATGCATATGCAAAACGCTTGAATACAGTTCACAATGGTGTGCCCGTAAATAAAATATTCCTACGTATAATACGATTAATTTCTTGAATATCCGACAATTCGCTTTTAAGATGTAAAAATGAAAACGGTTCTGGATAAGAATTACATTTTGCGATACTTTATCGTTTTGGCTTCTCAATTTGATATGCTTTATTTGTTCATATTTCGCAACGTATCGCAATGCTAATAATTTGAGGCCTATGGGCTTGAGTTTAACTTAAATAAACTTTAACTTGATTGAGTTAAACTTAAATAAATGCAAAGACTCATGCATTTTTCGACTATTTTTTTTTTTGAATAATATGATGTTTACTGAAAAAAATCATTTTAAGTGACTTAAATCCTTATAACTGTTCGTTATGTATCTGCTACTATTACGATTTTGGTTGTTGTTTCCGAGATGCGATACATTTCGAATGGATTCTGCTGCTGCGACACAAAAGTACTACACCATGAATTCACTGTTTATATGAAAGCTTGTTTTGGCGATAAGTCCGTCATTATGACCACTTGATCTTGATTGTTTGATTTCGGCTTCAACGAACTTGAACACAAATAGAGTAACGCATTCACTAAACCAGTCAACTGAAATGATAAAGAAGAAGAATTTAAATACTTTAAAAACTTGCAATTCACGACATTAAATTCCTAATTCACTATTAAAATCACAAGAACTCTTACGCCAGCCAATGTGTACGCATCATAAACGGAATTTCTTTTGTATTTATTGGTAAATGTGTCCACTGGACTGGGTCCGGCTACTTTGTTGAAATATTTGCCAAATTTTTGCAGCTTTTGTTCGAAATAACTTTGTTCGCCAATGTCTTTGTTCAATACGTTTTCTTTATCACCATTGATTGTAATCAGCAGGCAAATGGAAGCGACAAAGAGGCAAATCGCAGCAAATGAATCGTGAATGCGTTCCTAAGCAACACAAAAAGAAATTATTGGCTTTGATTTTTCGTTTCATATAAAGTCGAATCACTTACATCACTTTTTCCGGAGTTGACACGTCTCATTGTCAACAATAAAATGGTGGTACTGATCAAAAATGCAGCCGTGATTATGTGGAACATTAGCTCCCATCCCGATGAAATGGACTGAAGTTGGAGGAAGCAGCGGTAGTTGATGTAAACACATAACGAACCCAAAATCTGTTTGAATGATAGAATTTGATTTGTTACAACACGTTTGGCAATTTCAGTTTGAACAATTATTGATAGAAACATTTTTCTGATTGAAAAAAAAACAAAAAAAATCTTTTCAATCCAAAAACTTTGTCACAAGCACGTACAATTTGGAGATATTTAGCAAAGTAATAGCCACACATGTTTAGAACTGGAACGAATACGTTGAATAAAATTCAATTTATTTTACAAGTCAATAATGAAACACGTAACTATCAACTGACTGTCAACGACTGAGCGCTTCCAAATGACTAGACCGCAGTTTTATATTCAAACTGTCATTACCTCATAATTTGCAATAATTGTTGGTTCTATAGAAACCGAAACATGTCTGTTCCAATGATAAGCCAATGAATTTTTGCAGCGCAAGCATCGCAGCGTATTACATTACCGTTTCTTTCTTTGTTTACATTAATTTAGTTATTGGTGCTTCATTTCTTTAGCGTTCGAGTATATAAACGAATCGCTTGGTTGTGTTTTTCTATACAGATAAATCGATAAGACGCATCGAGTCTGTATCGGATCAGGCTTTGTTTTTTTTTTAAAAAAAAAGCAAAATATCAAAATATGATGAATAAATTTCGTATGACTCAAGCCCTTACCAGAAATATGTGTTGAAGACTAAATACACAAATGTAATCAGTTGTTTATAATCGATATTTTTTTTGGTTCGATTATGTTTGGTTTCGACTGCGATTCACCGCAATCATTTTCTGGGAATTTTTCGTCGTTCCATCAGAACTTATTGTCGCGGTTCGAAACTCATTTAATTATACTTTTACAAATTCAGTTTATGCGACGGTATAATATTCAGGCATACATTCTCTTGTGCGAAAGGTTCTGTGCTATGTCGAATACAGATTTTGTTGATAAAATAATCTATAAATAACTCCGAATCATTTAAACAACATTTTATGACGCTGCTCTAGTCTTAGTAATTGAACTGTGACTCATAATTGACTTTAAGGCTCTGAATGAGTTCTGATTTGAACATATGGTGAAATTTAAACAAATCGATTTGATAAACTCACTTCGTTCAATTGAATTTGACTTATTTGGAAATTTCTCAAGAATTTTGACCAGCCGTTGGGTAAACATAATTGTTTTTAACTCGATTTGCTAGTGTGAACTCATCTTATTTGATGAATTGTTTCAAAAAAACTTTCTTTTTCCTCTTCTGTGAATATGATTTTGATTAGTTTGCATAGCACCACATTATGATGAAGATGCGATAATGTGGTGCTATGCATACTCATCACACAACAATCTTCGTGGAGAGCAAGCACATTCAAAAATTCTTCTGTAAACCAAATTCAAAAACTATTTCCTTTGCAACACCATATTCGGTTTGTTCTTCGAAATTGTGTGAATATTTCAACTGTCACATCAGAATCGTGTGTGGCAATTCACCTATTAAATCATTTTCATTGATGTTATCCTCCGTACTGACCGCATATTTCACTGAAAATGTGTCCTTTCTGCCAACTTTCTACCATTTCACTCCATTCGCATGGCTTCGCTGGCGTGTGTTTTATGTTTATTTCTTTTTAATCGCTCCTTGTCATTGTCGATCCTACTTAATATTCTGTGGTTGTGTTGGACGGTTTTGGTCATACCGGAATACCAAGCAGCACAATTTCATAAGCTGATGGCCGCCATGTATGTCGGTTCGATAAAGGACAATGTTTTTGGTATTCAACGGTAACGCAATTGCGTTTTCATAGCAGTCCAACGGAGTTTTTTTCTTTCATACCACACACACTCTCATGGTCATGTACGTGAAAAGGATGAAAAAGAATTCGGCAAGAATATATTTTAGCGAAAGAGAGAGAGAGAGAGAGAAAACACTTCAAAAATAGAGGACAAAACACATTCGTAGCTCGATGCTGAGCATACAAAATGATAGACAAACCTATGATATTATCATGTATTATAACAATGGTGACAAGAATACATAAACAGAGTTATCTCAATCAGTTGAAAATTTATTCAATGTTGGAAATAGGACATTTCTTTTGGCGAATTTGTTTCAGCTCTGCACTGGAACATATCATTTAGAAGATGCTTCGTGACCATACTCGAAGCGTCTTCATAATTTTCGTTGAAAAAAACACCCAACAACAACATTGTATACGATTTTTCATGTGTCTTTCGAGAATCGTTTCAAAAGATAAATGATTTGACTAGGGGAAATGAGTTGGATATTTATTTTTCGCTTAGTTCCAAACTCCAGTGTTCTACGAGCACTAAATGGATTCAGTCAAAATGTACAAAGGAAACAAGTTCTAGTGAAGTCCGGGTTTCATCATCATCATCGACAACGACAGCACATCTTCAGTGGATCAGGAAATCGTCGAAAGACAATCAAGTTATAGCGTGTAATCCACATTTTTACAAACGTTTTATCTTCCTCATTCGCCGGGATTATGCGATAAAAAGCCATGCACAAACTATTTATTTTCATGAATAGAAAATGGTGTTCACGATACGCGCGCAACGATACAATCATGTTTCACCGTCATCGTGTATTCAAAATGAAATGGCAATTTTCATTTTAAGTCAAGTTCACTCCTAATTCCGAGTGTATATGCGAACGATTCAGCTCAACTTTATCGTTCCGTCAGCTCCCCTCCAAACGGAAAACAAACGGCATGCAATTTTCATTTTGAAACTTTTATCACTGCATTTGGCTTTTTGTGCATTGTTGGGGTTGAAATGTTGTGTTTTTTTCCGCCTTAAATTCGAAATGGTAAAAGTACGTGAATAAAATGCCAAAATAGTCGGTTATTTGGGATTTAATTCCACATTTAAACACATTCGTTCTGTTTTCATTGTCATTTGTTCTTGACGACTTTGTGGGGGCGGATTGTCAAGTTAGATATAGAAATGCAATTTAACTAAAATAACCTTTCTCTTTACACTTACGCACGGTTGTTATTAGCAAGTGAGGAAATGACAGCGTCGACATAAAATTGCTTCACTGATCAAAAAGGGTAGATAAAAAAACGGTAAGATCAACTTCCATTAGGGAGACTTAATATTGATTTTTATCTGAAATTCCGGAGAAGTCATCGGGTTTGTGTGGGATATGAAGTGAAATTTGAAATTCGATGTCAAATTCATCCAGTTTACGGAAAAAGTGTATACAAATGCAGCTGACATACAATTTAGTCGACACCCGAAAAAAAGAAGAAGAAGAGAGAGAGGAAAAAATTGAGGTAAATAAATCCTCTTAATAACACTCTTTGCACGTCCGACATTCAATGTTGGGTTCCGAACCCAAAATAGAAAAATATCTGAACAATGAATCAATAATAATAACTTGATCCTGTAAAACGAACCAAAAAAGGTTCAATTTTTTTTTTTGCGACAAATTTCTATCGAAAATAAACAAACAAAAACTTAACTTACAAACAAGCAAACAAAAAAGGAGCGAAAAAAAGTCTTTCTTCGTCATTCGAAAATGGGAGGAAGAACAAAGTGCTGGAAACAATGCATTTTGAGATGAAATGAGAAAATTTTTAACGTTGTGCTAAAATTCATCGTTTCCATTTTTTTTTCGTTGGCTGGTGACGGTATGAAGTAGAAAAACGAGACGTCAGTAGTTTTTTTCATCTTCGTTTTTGTTCCGCTTTGTAATGTCGCCCATGAATGGCATTAACAAAGCGATAATGCCCGCATTTGAGAAGTTTTCTGGTGCTATTTGTGCATTTCAATTTGTGCTTCACACCTTAAAAAAAATGCAATGTCGCTGCCCTGTGCTACCCGAGAGAAAGAGCGAGCGAATGAAAGAAATGAACAAAGTTTCAACAGCAATAGTAACACAATGTGTGAAAAGGAAACGAAACGTAAAGCGACAATTCAACAATTACACCATAAGCAAAGGTATTTGCCACTTCTGTGTTCGGACAAATAGCAACGAACGAACGTGAAAAAAACACATTTCATGAAATCATGTACACACACAGTTATAGTTATAAGCTGGTCTGGAATCAGGAGATTATAATTATTTACACGCGACAGATGAAAAACCATTTCGGATTTAAAACAGCATTTTTATACACGTATAGCCGAATGGGCAACATCAGCAGCGCCGTGCCAGCTTTAAAAAATATGTTTTGAGCTCAGTTTGGTGTGTATACGTGCGCAGGGTGTCATAAGTTGTGTTCCTTTGTTCTATGCGAAAAAAAAATTGTAATTTCTTTGAATAAAAATCCAGAGTGTGAGTTGTTGCGAGCTCGTTTGATTGTGTCACGATGGCATTATTTTGGTTTTTATGCCAGCGGATTATGTCATAAATGCGATTTTCATGCGATACATGGTGTTACTTTAATGCCTGCTCCTGTGTGTGTGTGTGTGTCCCTCTTTCATGTCATATTCAGCGAATTTTCAGCTCGCTTGTTTTTCCCCGTTAAGTCGATTGACTGCGACATTATAGTATCGGATTAATCAACGCAAATCTCCGCCGATTTCAACTGTATCAATTGCAGAAGAGAGAGAGAGAGAGAGAGAGAGAGAGAGAGAGAAAAAAAATTGTGTAATTGCTACATCAAACTCATTCGCTCTTGATCCCCATACAAAATTCGCGTACACACGACAACAAACAAAAAAAGTAGAAGACGTGAAACACACATGCCTATTATCTCTGTGCCATTCGATAAGCTTATGCAGCAGACCGTTCGAGACATGATGTGCGATACATACACATTGAATCCTTGTATGAATAATCTACTTAAATCATCCGTTAAATAAAATCTTTGATGAACATGTATGGGGAAACAAAACACAAGAACAGATGCACTCGCCGTAGTAAAGTCAATGTTTTTGTTTTGATTCCATTTCGGCTTTGTGTGTCCTTTTCATACGCATTTCGGATGAAATTTTCCACTGCATGTTTCATTTTTGATGAGAAGAATTATTTATGACGTGCATGAAGAAAAAAAAACACCACTGCAAATGAATCGTCGTACCGTCTGGAAATTCGATCAACTACACAGTCTTGATGCGCATGAAAATGAGCACAAAAATTAAACTATCAATATTTTATGAGCATTTTCGTCAGCAATCTCATTTCACATGTGAACTGATTTACATTCGGATGAGAAATTACAAAAGAATCCCAACTCGAATCGGTTAGGGTCGGAATATTTGTGTTTATTATATTCGGACATTGTTTTGGAATATAACAACATTACCAGATGTTGAAAAATCACATTATTTATGTACATGAAATGTCATAAAAAATGGAAGTCAATTTTTTCTCTCTCGAAAAACTTGGTCTCTCTTCCATTTTTATTGAATAATAAGCATACATTTTGTCGAATAACTCGTTTGAAATCTAATAATTTTTGATATTTAGAGTTAAAACTAAGGCAGAATTTCTTCTAAGTTCACGGTTTAAAACGGAATTCGTTTTGTTTTTACTACATTTCTTCAATTTAATGC